TCGAACAATAATAATAATAATAATGGCTGCACTCGTAATTGTGGCACTTTAGGGCAATAAAGAATGGTTTTCATATTATGGTTACATAAAATAACGTCTTATGCCACGATCTTGTTTTTCTCAATATCGTTAACCTTAGCCTGAAGGATATTTCATTTATACAATGCACATATGGAGTTTAAAATTACATCTTGATTTAAATTTTTGTTTTAAATGTTTAAATTGCCATCTAAAGAAAACTTTGCAATATTTATTTTTCTTAAAAGAAAAATGTTTAAAGGAGCTAAATCGCTAACATTTGGGACCTAGAAATTCACAAAAGTGGGTCGCAACGCATATAATACTGTAATATGAATGTATATAAACTGATTTACATTTAATGGTTTCCGTTTTTACTCCAATTTCAAATCAGTTATGTTCGGCGAAATAAGTCAGCAATCTCAATCGAGTGCAAATTTCTAGCGTCTAGTTATTCTAGTCTACATAACTCCATTTGATTTGGTGCAATGTGTCTAGCCTCGTCCCTCGAGTCTCTCAATACAACTGGGGCTGAAGCGCATTATGATATCAGAGGCTCATCTTTTCCCGGTAAGTTTACATCATCAATGTTGATTTAAATTGACCAATAATTCGTGTTTTCGATGTCGAAGATTTTGGAGGATTTTGAGTTACGGACTTAGGTCCTTTAATGGTAGTCTGGTTTAGTGCTCATTGAATTATTTATTTATTCCAAATGATAAATGGCCTTGATCAAGCTTGGGGCAGCTATATAATTATTGCAAATATCTCAAATACTTTTCTGTTAAAAAAATAAGCATTGAGTTGAAGAAATACAAAGGACTTGTTTAAAAAATATGTTACACCCAGGTCACGACCTTCATTTCCAGATTTAAAGTGATTTTTCTGTGTCCCATCACATTACCGGTCCACATTAAACAGCCAAAATAAACCAGATGCTTCATTTAATAGATAAGTTTTAGAAGTTAAAATATATGTACTGTTTTACTTTAGACGTCTTTCAATCTGATTACAGATTAAGCAACCTATGTCCCCAAAAATCTTTGGCGAATGTAGAGGGTGGGGTGGTCGAGGTGTGTAACAGATTAAGCAACCTATGTCCCCAAAAATCCTTGGTGAATGTAGGGGGTGGGGTGGTCGAGGGGTATAACTTTCTCTTGAACCTTTTGGATTTTAATTGGGTTTTCTTGTTTCTCCCATTGGCAAAGATCCCTTCGTACAAGCAATTTGTTGAAATAAGACTGGATTGTGTGTTAGCCCCAAAATTGTTATCATGTAGACGCTAAACTCTCTCACATTTATGCTTCCACAAAATAATTGGTAAAAATTGTTTCCATGGCCACATATAACCATATACTATAATGTTTGTGTGTCTCTCTCTGCCTGGATCCAACCATTACCAAATTTTTGGTGGGTTGAATGTCTTGGCAGGAAGCATGTATGATGAGTTTGACTATTTTGTTCCAATGATCCAAGTATATACATACTACAGGAAGTTATTAAACAGATTGGCTATTATCATATCTACATGTAGATCTTGTTTCTAATGTGAAATGTTGGGTCATATTATCAACAGGGGAGTTAGTTTCTGTATATAATCATGTTTAATGTCTATCACTGAAATAGCCATCTGGCTGTTGATATATAGGGTTGTACATGGATCATATTACATCTATCTTAAAGACCAACATGTTGGAATCTTAACCGATAGATACATTATTTCAGGTGGTGCTTGATTGACTTTTAATTCTTGTTCTTGGTCAGTTATTTGTTTAAATCTTAAGACTTAATGTAGGAAATGGTAAACAGAATCCATTTAAGCTAATGTGGTTAGCTGTAGCTATTGGGGGTAGGGGTGTGTGGTTATACCCATGACAGTCCATCTGATTAAAACATTGATCCTATTTCGTTTCGTTTTTTATAGTTCAAAATTTTGTTTTACTTGTCTTTACTACACTAGGAGACCATCAAAAGCATAAAAAATGAAACGAAATATAGATCTGTATTTTAATCAGATTGCCACGACTGTTGGTCCTTCTATTTATAGTCTTTCTCTCTCATTCTCTCCACCCCTCTTTTACATGGCCATTTTTATATGCACACATCGAAATATTGGTCTGGGGTCCACAATTGCTTGTGGACGCCCCAGAGACCAAAGATAATATCTGGTAGACTTTATATTTATACACAGTAACAGTGTTTAAAGTCATGAAACAAAGAGGCTTATTGATTTTCAGCAATTTCTGATAATTACTGCCAGAGTTATAGCCCTTGATATTAAGTATTTTGTATACAAAACGTTAGTATAGGGTAGAACTAGAAGCCAATGGGCTGTTACTTGTAATCAGATTTTAGCATGTTGTAAATTTTTTCATTACTGACAACAAAAAAAATATGTGACAATCTGAAAACCCTTGTTGACTGTTTTCATTACTGATAAAAGAAAAAAATATGTGACAAACTGACAACCCTTGTTGACTGCTCGGATGACTGTGGGCATATGTTTTGTTGCCTGGCAACCAATCTTTGCTGATTTTTTAATCTAGGATAGGAGAAAGGTGTTTGAATTTATAATTTCTGTCCGGTTTGTATTTTTCGCAGAAGAGTTGAGAGGTTTGTTATCTTGAAATGTACGGTCGATAGTTAATGTTTACTAGTCTGTGCTACTTGACCAGAGTTATGGCCTTGCTCAATATGTAAAATTTGTGAATGCTCTAGCAAAAAAAGTTATTTGATATACTTGAAATATATGTGCATTGTTCAGATTAGTGAAACAATGAATTCTGCGGAATCTTGTGAATACTCTCGCAACAAAGGTTATCTGATCGGCTTAAAATAAATTTACATTGTTCGGATTAGTGAAACAATAAATTCTGTCGAATTTCAACACTGTCCATTTATTACTTCTTGAATTATTGCTCTTGCTCAATTATAGATTCTTTTAAATGCTTGAAAACATCATCATATTTATTTTTAAGTTATATTATTTCTAACAAATAAGTATCAAATAAGTATCTGATTATTACTTCTAGAATTACTGCCCTTTATAAGGTCGTAGAATCTTGCCAATGTTCCAATTTCAAAAATTTTGCTTAATATTTACCAAAAGACAATCTTTATGGACTGCTGAAATAATTTTATCAGGTGTGCGGCAAAAATTTTTTTTTGCATGGTAGCAAGTCAAGTTTCTTACAACTTAACCGTGGCGAATTATAATCTGTTTCAATGAGGAATGTGAATTTGGATAAAATGCACATATTTTATGGTTTAGCCTTAAAGTGAAAATTTACTCATGTTGGAGTTACTGTGTGTAATATTTCAACAACATTTTAGTGGAATGTTGGTTTTGTAGTACCTAATGCAAATCTTGCTTGTTAAAACCTCTACACCGATCAATGGACCAGTGTTTATCCAATGTTTTCTGGATAAATATAAACATCCAATATTTTCTGAATAAACATAACCCAATTAAAAAAAAAAGCTCAACAGCTCAGTAAATAACTTAAGTGCATTTGCACTTTCTTTCTACCTTTTTGTGGTTGCTGCATATTCGTAGTACTCCCCAGAGTTAAGGTAAAATTCAGATTCAGGATATAAAATTAAACGAACGATGCATAATCTGCATAATATACACTCAGTTTGATTTTTTAACATTGAATTATGAAAACAATCAAAATACCAATACTAGATGATATCCTGGCTTGGATGCAATCTGATTTAAAATAGACCCATCAATAGTGGCTTCGCCTGTCCAACCTCGTGGGTTTTCTCCGGGTCCTCTGGTTTCTCCCACTGCTAAAAACCCTACGCACAAGCATATTATTGAAATAAAATTGAACCATATGTTAGTCCCGAAATGACCTAGTTTGTGTCGAGTGGACTCTCTCTCTCTCTCTCTCTCTCTTTCACACACAGAGTTGGCTGCAGGCTTATAGGCTTATTACATGGCGAGCAGCATAGATTGATGAAATTTCAATTTAACGTACATATATCTTTGTTAACACCGAATGGAATAGTTTGCAAGTGATTCCTAAATTTGGACATTAAGTGGGTTAACTTAAAAGCAACATCTAAATAAAAAAAAAATGTGATAACCCATTTTCTGTACAATTGAATTTATTGAATTTTTTTGGTTTTATCATAATATTTTGTTTTTTGTTGTACAATTTTATGCCTAAATTGATGTACTGGCAATCTGTTTAATCAAAATGCGTAGCAGACGACTTACTGCTGTTATAAACATTCTTCAGATGCTGTAGTTCTATTAGACTGTATGGCTTGTAAACAAATGATTCTACTATAATAAATAACTTCTCCCTATAGGTCATAGTTCAAATACATACATATCATGTACAATGTAACATGGTGCTATATATGTGTAGAAATAAAGTAGGGTTGTTTTTATCTACATTTTCCAGTCACCAGGTGTAAAACAAGTAAAGGATTGGCTATTAAAGCCTGAGTGCATCATTTGTGTTTTTGGGAAATATTATGTTTTCCATGGCTTAATCCATGCTAGAATCATCTTCAAAAGAAGGCTTGATCTCACTTTAACTCTGTACATCTTATCAAGCCCTTCACGTAATACCCTGCATATTTCGGCACTTATTTCAATTGGGTACTGACCCAGCTGGGGAGCCTATCAGATTCCTCGATCATTGCGTAAACCAAATCTTGCGCTTTTCAGCAAAAATGTCTACCTGTGATAATCGAGTAGCCCTGTCCCTAGAAATACATTTATCTCTGGTAAATTAATTTTAAAATTGATTAGAATTAAAGGGCAACTGAAGTGTACAAAACCAACAGTTCCCTATCTCTATAAATTACTGATACTTCACTTTTCAGGAACACTGCACAACAAAATATAGATAGTGCGCATAAAACACTATCTAGACTATAAAGACCGGATATAAATGAGGTTAGGAAATTCTGACTGAAAGTATGCAAATTGATTTAAATTAAATGTTTGTTTATAATTTCAGTAAACCAAAAGTACCATCAGCTTTGTTTGATGATGATTTATTCAAAGATGATAAAAAGTCAGACACGAAATCAGAAAAGGTATGTTTTTTTTTTATCCCACCAATTGACCAAACCATATTTTATTTTACTTGTACCAAGACAAGAAGGTGTGGTCTTTGGTATTAAAGTTATATTCCCTCACGTATAATTAGATTATCTATTCAACCATAGGTATGGGGGTAGGGTGTGCCTGGTGGTCTAGAGTGTCGAGTTTCGGGTCCTAGCTGGCCAGTCACCTCTGGCTTGTCGTCATTGTGTGAGCGTATGTTGCTTGGAAAAAGGGGCGCCTTTACTCCGCGTATGCCTCCCACAGGAAAGACCCCTGAGCATGCACTAAGAATATTGAAATAAGACAACATTAATAGAAAAAGAAGAAGAAACCATAGGTGTACAGAACTATTTTATTTAGGAAGTGGGTAGGGGCACAGTTTCGGTTGCCCACATTTTTTCAAACAAATAAATTTTTCAGTTTTTGCATTTTATCAATTTGAAAAATCTTTTATTGGAACAATTTTTGTAACTTGGTTTGATTTTAGAAAGAAGACAAAAAGCCAGCCGCTAAAAAAGATAGTTTATTTGACGAGGATGGAGGAGATGACCTGTTTGGGTCAATTTCAAAACCAAAAGAAACGGAAAAGAAGAAACCAGTTGGAGGAGTCTCCTTATTTGGTGGTGCTGACATTTTGAAGAAAAAGGAACCAATTGCAGAAGTCAAAAAGGTACTGTAATCAAAATGTACAATAATGTGCTGTGTACAGTTTAGTATCTGGTAGGTCCAATAAGTACGTACTTGTTTTGTATAGGCAAAAAAAACAGCATACAATTATTTTTGTGAACTTCTGAGAATTTGTAATTAATATTGCTCCGATTCAGTATAGAAATGCGAAAGTTTAAGCTACAATATGCCAGAAAAATGATAAATATAGACTTAAACATACATTATGCAAGAGCTAAATCTGTGTATTACAGGTCTTTCTTTAGGTCGGAAATGTTATCTAAATTATTAATTAGACATTAATTAACCTATCCAGACCATAATCAACTCTAGATGGCATCGCTAGCCTACGATCTTTAGTGGATTGTGAGCCGATTTACTGCATAACTTTCCTTCACCATTTAATGATTAAATGGATAATCGAGACTATGCTGTTTATCGTACTGACTTTAATTGGATAATCAAGACTATGCTGTTTATCATACTGACTTTAATTAGTAATGATGATCAATTTTCAGCAAATTGCCATTACATTATCTAGTTTTTAACTATTATAGTGAGAACTGCCAACTCGTTATCGAATCTCCCATAATGTATCTTTAAAGAACACATACACTAATCATGCATACTTTTATTAACAAAACTTCTTTTCCAAAAATTATTGAAACTGATGAATTCAAACTTAAGTTATCGTTATTTAAGGTTGACTTTGTTTTCACAAATAAAATAATTATGATAATATATTTTTTGGGTAAAAGATATTTCCCCAGACAGCATTTTATTTTATTTCCATTTCAGAGATATATCAATGGTTATCTAACTATCACTGTATATTTTGTTCTATCTGTATTTTCGTGTGCAGTTAACATATATAGTCTATTATGCCTAGATAATTACCGGTATTTCTGTTGTTTTACAGGAGGAAGACAAGAGTAAAGTAAAGAAAGATAAAAATAAATTATCGTTATTTGATGATGATGATGATGAAGATGGTGGTGACCTGTTCAGTTCGTCATCATCATCATTATCTACAGCCAGTAAAACTTCAAAATCTAAAGACACAAAGAAAACAATAGAACAGGTTTGTTCCTTTAGTTCAGTCAAGTGTAGGAAAACAACACCACACATAACAATTGACTAGAAACCAATGGAGAAACACATACATTGTAAGCTATGAAAGAGGATGTAACAGGACACATGATAATTAACTAGAAATCAACTGGACAAACACACAGACATTGTAAGCCAGAAAAGAACTATCCAATCAAGGCCTGTGTATATACATGTTGTCAAATCAAGCTGATAATAAGTGTAGGAGGACTGCATAACACACAACAATTAATGAAATGTCCTAAAAGAATGATCAAATAAAGTGAACTAACCCAAGGACTGGTAAACAATTTGTACACCAGCATAACATACTAAAGTGGTTTTGGGTCTTCAAAAAACATTTCGTACCTGAGTCATATTTTACATCTTTAAAAAATGTGAATTATTTTCTCCACATCTTTACAGACAAAGAAAGCTGTGGGCGGGGGAGGTAAAAGTCTATTTGATGATGAAGATGTTTTATTTGGAACCAAGGAAAAGGAGGCACCATCTGTAGATCTGTTTGGTAGTAATACCCCAGCAGCTCCAGCTGTAAGTATCCACAAACTCTGGAGTTTTTTTCTCCCACTTGCTTTAAATGTATTTTAGTAAGCTACAAATAGGATTGCAATGGAATTTATTGTTTGTTCTGTTTTAGGAGAAACCAAAGACAGCCGTTAAAAAAGAAACAGTTGCCCCAAAGAAACCTTCCAAAGCTAGTGCACCCACTGGAGGATTATTTGAGGACGATGATGATGACGATCTTTTTGGGTCAACGAAGAAAGAAACGGTAATATATCGTACAAAATTCTTGATAATGTGACTGGATGATCCATAACTATTTGAACCCTTGGCAGTTGGAATATGAGGAAGAATATGAGGAACGTTCCTGCCCCTGCAAAATTCTTCTAGCATTGCACTCATAACTACTGAATTAAAAACTGGCATGTTATTTGCCGAATGACTGAATGGAGCACCAAGGTTTGTCATTGAGTCAAGTGGCAGGTTTTGTTCCCATGCTTGTTCATGGCAAGAAATAGGGTTACTTGACCAATCTCATGGATTTTCTCTGAATCCTCTGATTCCCTCCCACAGCAAGCCAATTATTGAAATGAAATTGTACCATATATTAGTCTCGAAATGACCTGGTTTGTGTCGAGTGGATGTTAAACCCCATTTATCTCTCTGTCTACGATGAAGTCACAGAAGATTTGCTTAAACATAAATTTAACAAAAAAATTAATTAAAGTGTAGGCCTAATGAGCAATTCATATCATGCAAACGTTTGAAAATTGTTGACATTTATTTGTTTCATATATTATGTTTAAGTATTTCCTGATTGTCTACTTAGAATGCCACACAATTTGCTTTATACTCAATGTGTATTTTAATAGCTAATTATCACAGACATGAACTGTATATGTTTTCCTGTGAATTGGTTTTGGGTATGTTTAGTTCTATCTAAATTTGGATGAAGGACCACGGTGTAAAAAACAGTTTTTCTTCCATATTTATTTAGTTGTATTGGATAAAGGGTCACAATTTGATAGGCAGTGTAAAAAACAGTTTTTCTTCCATATTTATTTAGTTGTATCTAAATTTGGATAAAGGGTCAGAATTTGATAGGCAGTGTAAACAACAGTTTTTCTTCCATATTTATTTAGTTGTGTCTAAATTAGGATAAAGGATCACAATTTGATAGGCAGTGGAAAAAAACAGTTTTTCTTCCATAGTTATTTAGTTGTATTTAAATTTGGATAAAGGACCACAATTTGATAGGCAGTGGAAGAAACAGTTTTTCATCCATATTTAATTAGTTGTGTCTAAATTTGGATAAATGAACACAATTTGATAGACAGAGAGATAGGCAGTGGAAAGGATTGTTATTCTTCTTATCTATGTGTTTTAATTTATCATCAAAGTTGCTTTAACATTATGGAAGCCTTCATCAATAAGTAAAATCAAGTAATAGGGATACACTATACAGTAATATTGTGGTGTTCAACTTAGATGGAATGGAAAATTTCAGAGAGATCTGCTGGTCCATCACTGGGATATATAAGTTTTATGATTCTATATGAGTCATGTACATTATAGAAATGAAAAGAAATAGGGTTTAACATCCTACTTCAAGCACCAACTGGGCTATTGACTCTAGTGGTTTTCAAAAGTTCAGCTGATGCTCATGAAAAATGCTTTGTTTTAAATAGAAAAGGCCCCGAGTTCACAAAGCATTTTCATACTTAAGAATTTATTCAAAATTGTTTGCCTTATTTTAACTAAATTATAGCCCTTTATAAAACTTTTGTTGTTTTAATGTATCAAATACATCAATAAGAAACTATGTGGAAAGTTTTATGTTTCTGGATCAAAGATATTTCTCATAAACAGTGAATGAAAGTTGAGTAAATTCCTAACTTGCTTCTTAGACTTCTGTGTGAACTCAGGGCCAGTTCTAGGATGTTCATAATTAGCCGAGTCAGTGGTTATGCTGTATATAGTATATGAATTTAATAACATTTATTTTCTTACCGAATGTTCAGATATGTCTTTAACAAATAACATTATATATCTAATTGTATATTTGTATACTCAATATTTATATATTTATTTATATAGAAAAAAGATAAAGTAGATATCGCAGGTGTTACAGAAACAGAATCAACAGATCTTCCTGAAAAAGATGAGGTATGTTAAATTACCAACATGTTAAAGTTTAAAATGTTGGGTAGCCGAATGGTTTACACATGCGCGTTGGATCTTAAAGTTGCAATTTCATATTTTTACGTTATATTTTTAAAATTTATTAAAATAAAGCCTTAAAATAGATGGTATCTATAAAAAGTCCTACCTTGTTAAAGAATAATCCTATTAATCCTATAATTCACTATTGCCAGTTGAGAAATTGGCAAAAATATCATTTTCCTCTTCAAATTCAAACGTTTGAGGATAGCTACTCCATGGTGGAGAATAGAAAACAAGGGAGGTAATTGTGTTATTATTTTCGATGTAAATGAGTTTTAAGTGTGAGAATGACACCTATGATCGTATAATAGTGAGTTGACAACCTATTGAGCAAAAGACATAGAAATAATTATGTTTTGACTTTCTTAGAAAATATGAAATTGTAACTTTAAGGTCTGTCATTGGCGTGGTTTCAATTCCCAGTTTGTACATGACAAGGAGTAGGGTTACCTTTCCAACCTGGTGGCTTTTCTTCTGGTCTGCCTGTTTTCTCCCAATGCTAAGACCCTTACGTGCAAGCGAATTATTAAAATAAAATTGAACCCTAATAATATTAGTCCCGAAATGGCCTAGTTTGTTTCGAGTGGATGTTAAACCCCATTAAAGCCCTACATGCCAGAATAAAAATTGAGACCACACACAATCAAACATGTTATTATTAAAAACATTTGAATCGATCAATTCAGACTTCAGACATAAGTTAGGGCAATTTTATGATGATATTGGTTTCTATGGATTTTAAATCACAATCTTTATCTATCTTTGACAAATGTAGCAATAGTAATTGCTCAATGTGTTTCATGCAAGCCAGCATATACTAAAATCCAGATTAATGACATGTGTACTATTTGAAAGGCACTAAATCCCTAATATTTGGGACCTAGAAATTGACACAAATGGGTTACAATGCATAAAATAATGTAATATGAATGTATATAAACAGATTTACATTCAATCGTTTCTGTTTTTACTGTAATTTCCAATCAGTTATGTTCGGCGAAATACGTCAGAAGTCTCAATCGAATGGCAATCTCTAGCATCTAGTTATTCCAGTCTGCACCGATAATATTTATTGTGCATGCTCTCCAGATAAGAATATGGCGTCACCGTTTGACAAGACTTGTGGAATATGCCTAGCCTCTTTCTTCGAGTCCCTTGTTACAAATGGTGCTGAAACGCAATATGGCACAAGATTCGTGTACCAATGGTAAAATGTTTATTTTGTCTTAAATATTGGATATCAAAAGCCCATCTTTTACAGTTAAGATCACAACATCAATTTTGATTTAAATTGACAAACAATACCTGTTTTTAATGTCGAAGACTTTGGATGATATTTAGTTAGAGACTTAGCTAATTTAATGTAAATACTGTTGCCATTTTTTTCTAGCCACCAAAGGAAGAAAAGCCAGCAGCCACTAAACCCAAGAAACCTGTAGGAGCTGTTTCTATGTTTGGTAGTATGGATCCATCTGCCCTACTTAAGAAAAGGAAACCGATTGATCCACTGGGAGAGACAGATGGTGAGAAAGAAAAGGAAAAGGATGTGAAGAAGGAAGGAGAGAAAACAGAAAAGGAAGAGAATATAGAAAGAAAAGAAAACAAAGAAAAAAGTAAAAAATGTAAGATTTGATTTTTAAAAATAGATCAAGATAAAGTCTCCATGGTAATACTCGATTGAACGTTCCGGTAATTAAATTCTGTCAATTCCGAAAATAGTGTCAATCGAGTGAAAAGTAGAATTTCGGAGTACAGCGCATGTGCCGACTGCATAAAAAAATATCTCAACCAATCATGGCAGCTGAAATATATTTGTTACTTAAAATACGTCACGATTCTACTCACACCACCTCAGCTGTCAGCACTGGCAGAACTGTGACAGGACTGAATTCTGTATCAATTTATTCCAATTCTGTCAATTCGGGATGTTCTGATCTAACAATCGAGCACCCCCTAAATTTGCAAGTGAAAGTCGGACAAGAATTGAAATAGTATGCATTTAAGATGATTTACTTGCCTCGAAATTAATTTTTTTTATATTCCTTGTACAAACCTTAGGTGAACGATAAACAAATCATTTGCATTGGTGGGTGATAAAAATCATTCATTGGTTTTTGAAGTGGATTGGATAGCCGAATGGTTAGCATGTGCGTGCTGTATCATAAGGTCTGTCATTGGGTCAACTGGTGTGGTTTCGATTCCCCGGTTGTATATGACATGAAGTAGGGTCGCCTGTCCAACCTTGTGGGTTTTATCCGGGTCTTCCGGTTTCCTCCCACTGCTAAAGACCCCTACGCACAAGCGAATTATTGAAATAAAAAGAAACCATGTGTTAGTCCCATAATGACCTAGTTTCTGTCGAGTGGACGTTAAACCCCATTTCTCTCTCTCTCTCTCTCTTTTGTTTCTTGGAAGGCACAATAAAAGGCAATTATAGACATTTGAGCTGAGAACATTAAGACACTCTTCAAAATGCTATGGAAGTCATTGTGGCTTGGTGAGCATGGAGCAAGTTCGCTAACCAGGTGATCTCAGGTTCCTTGGGACTTTCCACCCTGGTTTCCCCCTTGTCAGAGTTGTAGGATGGATAGTCTATCAAGCAAAAGAAGCCACAGTGTCTAAGTGGGTAAGATGCTGGCTCGCTAACCTGGACATCGCATGTTCGATCCCCGCATTGGCTGAGAAAGTTCATCAAGATTTTCCGACATGGTTTCCCCTTGTCAGTGGTGCAGGAAAGAGGGCCTGACAAGGACAGTTGTCTAGTCGTTCGGTTGGGATGGAAAACCGAGGTCCTGTGTATACATTGGCATGCATGTAAAAGATCCCTTGGCAGTTGGAATTTGATGTAAGAGTAGGCCATAGTCTGCTACCCGGGCAAAATTCCCCTCATAGCACACTGTATGGCATATGCCTGTCTTCATTAGCCCAGTCGGAGCAGAACAGTAGGACGTTAAACCCCATTCATTTTCATTTCCATCAAGGAAAAGTGTGTAATCATATCCCTAACAATTGTAAATCAAAATAAGAGTACTGTTTGGTTATAGCACACTGCATGGTGTATATTCATCAGATTAGCCCAGTTAGTTGTTTCAATGGCATTTAGTAATTGAACTGGAGTATACAGGTCACAATTCTATGGAATACAATTACTGCTTTTTACTGAGCAACGTTTTGACAAGGCTTCTCTTGTCATTATCAAGCAATGAAAATATAACAAGGCAATATATACATGTACACAACAATACTTAGTTCAAGAAAGTAAGATTATTACATACATGTAGATATTTTCTTTCTGTTCTTCGTATGTGGCAGTCAAACTCATTGATCAGATACGAAGAACAGAAGAAAAATATGTACATGTATGTAATAATAAGTATTGTTGTGTACATGTATATATTTTTCATATTTTATCATTGCTTGATAATGACTAGAGAAGCCTAGTTGAAACGTCATTCAGTTATAAGCAGTGATTGTATTCCATAGAATTGTGACCTGTATACTCCAGTTAGTGCAGAAAAGTTAAACCCCATTCACTGGTTGTTGTTCCTGTTATTACTATGTTTTATTTATTCTGTTTAACAGCGGATGACTTGTTTGGTTCAGATGGAGAAGATGAGAAGTTGGTTAGTAGAAAACCAGCACCACCTAAAACCTTACCTAAAACATTACCTAAAACCCTTCCTAAACCAGCCCCCAAACCATCCCTTAAACCATCAGGTTCCACGCCCTCATCACCAGAAGTAAGCATTTTATATACTCTACACCTGAACCATTTTATACACTCCACACCTGAATCATTTTATACACTTTACACTTGAACCATTTTATACACTCTACGCCTGAATCATGTTACATACTTACACCTGAACCAATTTATTTATTCGTCACCTGAATCATTTTATGTACTCTACACCTGAACCATTTTATATACTCTACACCTGAATCATTTTATATACTTACACCTGAATCATTTTATATACTCTACACCCGAATCATTTTATACACTCTACACCTGAACCATTTTATATACTCTACTCTATATTCAGAAATATATTGAAACTTGAATTTCAAAGAATTTTAGATTGTTATAATTTCACTTTTCCTGCTTTGTCTTGAAAGAAGAAATGTACACATAACCCTGGTTAATAACTATCAAGCTAGTATTATTAATAAACACTGGAAACAACCCATTAACTACAATATTTGATACCATTTCTCCGCTTTTATTCACAATTTTAATTTGTAATAAATTAATTGTTACCAGACAGCTTCACCATCTCCAACCTCCCCATCAGCTAGCAAACCATGGAAACCAGCCGGTGCTGTCTCTATGTTTGGTGGCATGGATCCACTCGCGGGATTGAAGAAGAAACAAGGTGCCAGTTTTGATAAAGGTTCACCCACAGAAGAAGCACCCAAATCAAATGATACCCAAACTGAAACAAAAAATACTGATGATAGAAATGAAGGTAAGTACCTGCATAGTGTGGGGAGTTGGATGGCTGAATGGTTAACATGTGCGTGCTTTATGACAAGGTCTGTCATTGAGTCAGCTGGCATGGTTTCAATTCCCCAGTTGTACGTGGCAAGGATTAGGGTCGCCTGTCCAAACTCGCAGGTTTTCTCCGGTTTTGACAGGATTTGTTGATGCTGATTTTAAATAAAGTTCAGTAATTTTGTCAAGTTTTGAGTCTTGTCACCACATATAGGCATTTGATCCAATTTCCCTCAGGTTTGGAATAAGGGCTTGATCCCCATACAGTGCCATTTAGCCCAGAAATAAATAAAGTTCAGTAATTTTGTCAAGTTTTGAGTCTTGTCACCACATAGGCATTTGATCCAATTTCCCTCAGGTTTGGAATAAGGGCTTGATCCCCATACAGTGCCATTTAGCCCAGAAACTGAATAGAGCCATCTTATTGGCTGAGTAAATTCAAATTTCAGCCAATAATGTACACTGTACAGCTAAATACTGTACGGTAGTGTAGTGAAGTAGAAATCTAATCAAATACTTTATTTTTAGTATCAAATCATACAGAGAATGGTGTCCCAGCAGCACCAGCTTTAGATAATGATATTATGGGTGACGTAAGTACATTTAAATATCCTGACCTATTCATTAATTTTATAGAATGTCGTTGTCTAAGTGTGTACTGTAAAAAATGTAATATGATTTTTTTTTACTCCTCATAAAAATCAAGGCCCATTTCTAGTTTGATTTTGCAGGACAATTTCATACAAGTCATTGTTTTATTTGATTTTGCTTGACAATTTCATACAAGTCATTGTTTTATTTTAAATATAAGTCCGTAATGAAATATATCCAAGACTTTGGCAAGGATATTTAATTTATAGACAAGTGTTGATATATTTCACTGTAAACAAGGTATCGTTTAATCTTGTGTACGTAGCTCTAATTTCTTTCACATTGAAAGTTGATGAAAAACGTCTAAAATCACCCCAAATCATCTAATTTGTACTGGATTCCAGTTCAAAGCTGACTCTTTAATGTCCTAATTAATTATTATACATTAATATTCAATGTGGTTGTTTATTTTTGAACAGTTGTCAGGGAAATTAAACACCTGTAAAATCAAATGGACAGTTTTAACTGGAGACAAGTACAAATTAGATGATTTGGGGTGATTTTAGATGGGACATTAATTTGATATTGAATGAATGTGAAAGAAATTAGGGCTACATACGCAAGATTAAAACTACCATGGTTACAGTGTTTAATTTCAAAATCTATGAATATGAGGTTTTATTTGAACAGATTTGAATATTCGAACTGTATTCAAATAATTACTTACAATATTTGAATAGTATATCAGCTTTTGATGTGACAACTGCCAAATATTCTAAACAAAAGCAAAAAAGAGAAAATGAAATTGGAGTGACTTTTTGAATAATGCTTGGGAAATAAATTGAAGCACTTTTAGAAAGTGGTATGTGATTGAACTAGAAATGGGACTATAAGTAATTGGATGTACATTGACATTTTTTATCTGTAGTTCGTAGTTTATCTATTAGAAACCACTAATACTTAAAAAATCAAATTAATCAGTAAGGATGAAAAAAAGATAAGAGAAATCCGGACAAAACGTAATTACAGGACTCTGGGGGACATTAGTCCTACACTACCCCTACCCCAGCCTTTTTGACGAAAAAAAAAAAATATATGACCCCCCCCCCCAAAAAAAAATAGTTATGAACATGTCTCATTTCTTGTTAATTAAATATAACTGGGATGAAGTCCCCACACTCACTTAGTATACTCTGTTTATTCCCACACACAATTGGTGCTTAGAGTCTGAAACCAGAGCACTGTTTCTCGGAATTTTAACTAACGATAAAATTCAATTTTAGTAGATACTTCAATTTTGATTGGCTAAGCACAAAAATTAATCTAATATTATCCAATCAAATTACTAAAATTTGGATTTTATCATAGTTAAAATTTCGTGAAACAGGCTCCTGATCCGTAGTCTTATGCAATAAGGGCAGTGAACTCACTTTGGATTAGATTGTCCTAGATCTGCTGCCCATTTGTATTTTTCCTGTTGGTCAGTGGCAAACCATGTATAACTACTGCTGCCCAGGCATAATTCTCTTCTGTTTGTTTTCTAAAATATAATAAACTAACATGGTTTAAATGCTTGGCAAGTTTTGTTAATTCTTTTTTTTAACCCTTTTGGTGCCAGTACTGAATGTTAGCAGTCTTGAAGTCAAATCATTGACAAACGATTTCTGCATGTTTTAATCGCTAAAATGAAAGCGGGAGCCACGGTGGCTAAGTGAGTAAGACGCTGGCTGGCTAGTCTGGAGGTCGCGGGTTCAATCCCAGTTTTGGATTTTCCGATGTGGTTTCCCCTTGTCAGTGGTGCAGGACGGAGGTCCTGACAAGGACAGCTGTCTTGTCGTTTGAATGGGACGAAAACCGAGATCCTGTGTACACATTGGCATGCTCGTAAAAGATCTCTTGGCAGTTGGAATTTGACATAAAGAGTGGGCCGTAGACAATCATAGCACACTGGACAGCGTATGGCCGTCTGCATTTGCCCAGTTGAAGCAGAACAGGACGTTAAACCCCATTTCATTTAATTTCTAAATCAAAAGACCAATATATGTGAACATTCAATTCAGCAATCTATCAAATTACCTCCTGTCTTGATTAACTTAAAACAGAGCAAGCTATATGTTGCTGAGCTAAATGTCAAAAATTTTCGACACACAGTTTAATAGGGATAAAAACTGTTGTTGAAAACTTTCGACTCTTGGCAACAAAAGGGTTAAATTTATTATTTTGCTTGTTTTTCACTAATTATTGCATGTGTTTGTGTTTTTTGTTGTTTTTGTGTAGTTGCCTGATTTCTCTAGCAGAACTTCTCGACCAATCAAAACTGGTGTTGGTAAAATAGGAGCGCTTCAGGTATTTAAAATAACCAATTTAGAATACAGTGAAAAATGCGCTTTTTATGAATTATCTTACTCTTCTGTGGTTTTGGTTATGGAGTTAATTTTTAAGTAGTAATAATGCATACAGTTCTGCTGGGTTTCCATTTTGCGTGAAGCCTGTACCCTTACAAATACGGGAGACAAAAGTCTACAGCACAGTGTGGATGCTTACAGCTGGCCACCGGATCCATTCACTAGATTGATAATTGTTTTTTAGCGCTTGCAACGTCTGTTTAGTTTGGGTTTTGTCCGAAGGTTTGTCTTATCGGTTTTGTTTTCGTGTAGTGTGGTCCTTTTGCACTTACTCTTAGATTGAATAGTGGACGGCCGTTTTGAAAATGTGCTAGATAGGATATCTTGTTCCACTAATTATTAATGGTAAAGGGAGGAATTACCATTGTGATACAATCCAGGTTAATAATGCTCAAGTCTTCAAGCACGTAGTCTTGAACACTCCAGTCCAAATTAATAGTCTCAAATGCATTGATTATATTGTTCTGGATAAGATATGAAGTGTATTTCTGATTACTCGGCATCTATATGTATTGCTGATGTAGCTGTGTTTAATGTTGTTCCTTTATCCAACACTGTTAGTTATAAATGACTAAATATGTATTAATAAATAATAATATGTCCATTTGTAAAGCGGTAATTCCACAAAGCGTGCTCATGCATATAATGTTTACTTGTCTACAGCCAAAACCATGCTCTACTCACAGTGAGAAAATAAGTGAATCTTCAACTATGATATGACAGTAGACAAGATTTCACAGTCTGAGATTGAATGTAGTTGACCTCAGTTTCAAAAAGATCCTTTCTCCTTTCTTTTAACAGGCAAATTTAGCCATCAACCCATCTGCCTTATTACCAGGTGCTGCACCACCATCTAATACACCAGAACCAGCACCAGCAGGATTTGATGAACCAGCAGAAGCTACAACTTTAGCGAGCGCCAATAAGGTTAGATAATTAGCCTCCAACACTTCACTAACAGACACCTCATCTCACACGTGTAGTGTGTCATACTAAAAAATTCTTGATGCCTCCTTTCAAGAGCTGGCCATAACTAAATAATGTGTTCATATGACATCAATACTTCCAATGTGTCAACATCATCAATACTTTCCTAAGATGTTGAATTTTAAATGAGGATTTTGAGTCAGTGGGAACTACATTGTATTTCTCACTTATTTTCAAAACTCAAATGCAATTGCAGTTTGTTTTTTTTTTTCATTTCAGGAAAGAGCAAAAATATCCAGAAAGAGACGTCCACAAAGTAGATACGCCAGACGGTCACAAGTCTTTGATGCCAATATAAATTATGAAGATTTTGCTTCCATGGGATCGCCGATAGAAACTCCGTCAGAAAATCCATTAACGAATGGATTACCCAATGGAAATGAAAGTCCAGAAAAATCAGATACAACTCCAGAAAAATCAGATACAACTCCAGAAAAATCATCTCCAGAAAAATCTTCTCCGCCAAGAGATTTATTCGGAAATGATGATTTACTTAGTGATTTAAGTTCGGAAAAATCTAAACCAATATTAACAGATGACACTAAGGACACTAAAGATGTTTTCAGTTCAGGAAAGTTTTCATCAGGGGCAAGTAACTCTAAAGACTCAGATAAGCCAACAGACAATGCAGACGATTTGTTTAGTGATCTAGGAAAAAACAAAAAGGAGAAACCAAGTGAACAAAAAACAGACAAAGAGGATTTATTTTCACCAAGAGCAAGTGAAAAGAAAAGTGAAAAATCTAGTCTTTCAAAAGAAAAATCAAAATCTTCAAAGCTAGTGAGCGAGGATGACGATTTATTTGCGAGCTCGTCAATAAAAGACTCTAAAAAAGATAAAAGTGATAAAGGTCGCTCTAAAACAACCCAAGAGGAAGACGACATATTTGCCGATGCCAGCATTAATAAAAAGAAAACAGGTAATGAAATAAAATAAAATTAAAAAACATCCAATTTAAAACCTGGACCCCTACTTTCGATTGTTTTGGTGTGTTTATTTTTGCTGTTAGTATACTCAACAAAAAAGCAAAACGAACTGGGGGTTATTTCATTATGATTGTCAAATGGTGGGAGTACTGGACTCTCAACAAGAAGAACCTTCAGTAGTTTTCAGCCTCGACCTTTTGAGGCTAACAAGAAACGTGTCCCTAATCGTTCAAGGCTTAACCAGGTACACATTGACGTCCCCTTAAAAGAAGTCTTGACATTAACAAAAGGAAATTAAGAATTGTTTCAAATTAAAAGGTAAAAATAAGACTTTTGAAAATAAGAAATGAAATGAAATGGGGTTTAACGTCCTACTGTTTTGCTCCGAACTGGGCTAATGAAGACGGGCATACACCTTACAGTGTGCTATGGGCTTTTTATCGTATCATCCGAATGACTAGACAGCTGTCCTTGTCAGGCTCACCGTCCTGCATCACTGACAAGGGGGAACGACGCCGGAAAATCTGGGTGAACTTTCTCGGCCAATGCAGGGATTGAACACCCGACCTCCAGGCTTGTGAGCCAGTGTCTTACCCACTTAGCCACCGTGACCCCCTTTGATAATAAGCATTTATGTTTTGAAAACAGTAAAGTGCAACAAAGATGCTTGTGGTCATGTGATCACCTATATTTTAATATAAGAGATAAGGTGTCTATGAAGACCTGGTTATCCCGATATTTTATTCCAATATTTTTAATTTCACTATGTTCAATCTGCGTAATAGTGCTAATTGTATTTTATTTAAGCAGTTTGAAATGATTTTATTTCTCGTTTAGCATCTAAAACAAAGCCTGCCGCATCAAAAGCTGATGATGATATTTTTGCTTCAAGTAGTGTAAATAAAAAAGCAACCGCTAAATCAAAAACTGAGGTAAGTAAAACTTATTACCTATACATATCTTATTAACAAGCTGTCTCTGACATATTTATTTTGGAGTATATTGTAGTCATCCCTCTCTGTTCCACCTGTCCTGGGGGGTTGGATGGCCGAATGGTTAGCACATGCGCGCTGTATCATAAGGTCTGTCATTGAGTCAACTGGTGTGGTTTCAATTCCCCGATTGTGTTTGACAAGGAATAGGGTCGCTGTTCAACATCGTGGGTTTTCTCTGGTTCCTGCGGTTTCCTCACACTGCTAAAAATCCCTACACGCAATTATTGAAATGACCTAGTTTGTGTCGAGTGGACGTTAAAATGGCATTATAACAATTTTTGAAACTGGTGCTGGTGGACATATCTTTGTTGCCCGGCAATCAGGTGTTCTTTTAGACTGTGCAACTATCTGAAACTCTGTGATTAATTGAAGACATAGCCAGTTATATTATTGTTATTGGCGAAAAGTTTTCAGTCTGCTACATGCAAACCTGTCTGGACAATCATGATTATAAGCTTGTCACAGTGTGATGGTCCCATTTATCAGGTCACTTAATGCATTTGATGCATAGCCCGTAAAATTTGGGACTGCTTCTTTAAAGCTCTATCGGTACACAAGATAACATACCAATGGGACGACCAACATCAATCCCAACAATCTGACTAATCTCTTGTATCAAAGAAAACAGGGTTCATTTAAAAATCCTTCCAGAGAGTGATAAAACGAAACAAAATGAAATGGGATCTTTGTTCAAATCGGATTGTGGTTTCAATAAACATGTACTTAAAAAATTTAAACATTCTTTAAAAAATGTTGCTTTTAATTCTTAGGATGATGATATATTTGCGGGTGCTGCACCTAGTAAAGAAGAAAAAAAGCGAAGACCGAAAAAAGCAGCCACGAAAGACGAGGACTTGTTTAAAGATGACACAGATATATTTGCTGACATTCCTGCTTCCAAACCTAAAGAACCTAAAAAGAAAAAGAAAGCCACAACGGAAAAAAAGGGAATATTTAAAGATGATATAGGTAAAACTTTGTTTGAATTCCAGGGTGTTTGGGGGGATCGCATGGTCTAACACGTGCGCTTTAGATCATAAGGTCTATCATTGAGTCACATGGCACAGATTCGATCCCAAGCTGAAACGTGACAGGAAGTAGGGTCATCTGTTTTTTCAGGCCCCAGGGTCTTCCCACTGCAAAAGACCCTAACTTTCTGAGCCAACTCTTTTAAAGATTTTTAAAGTACAATCACCAACAAATGACTCTAAGTTGAGATGAAGCTTTGTACACATATTTCTTTATTTTTTATGAAAAACTCAACATTCAACCTTTCTGGGGGGTTGGATGGCTGAATGGTTACCATGTGCGCGTTGTATCATAAGGTCTGTCATTGAGTCAACTGGCGTGGTTTCGATTCCCTGGTTGTACGTTGTATGGTCACCTGTGCAACCTCGTGAGTTTTCTCTGGGTCCTCCGGTTTCCTTCCACTGCTACTGACCCCTACACACAAGTGAATTATTGAAATAAAATTGAACAATATGTTAGTCCCGAAATGACCTGGTTTATGTTAAGTTGACTTAAACTCTCTTCGAAATTCTAAATATTTATTCAGTATATGAAAATAGGTGTTAAACATAGAAATCTTGCTTTATGATTGATTATTACTGAACTAAAAATGTGTAAGCCAAATTCCTCAGAAAGTGGAGCAGATCAAAATGTCAACAATTTAAACAGATTATGTACGTGGAAAATTCTAAAATAAAACGCTTCTTTTTTCAGATGATATATTTGCCGATTCTACACCAGTTGTTGGTAAAGCCAAAAAGGATTCTGGGAAGAAGAAAGAGGAAGTAAAAACTAGCGAAAAGAAGGAAGATATATTTGAGGATCCTCTTGGAACGAAATAATATATTTACTTAATTACAAAGTACATAATTGAATTACTCAAGAATTTTAGGAGATACATATTATATAGGCCTAGCCTGTTCCCCAGTCCAGATGTCAGTTTGTGAAATAGAAATATTGTTTCCAAAATAAAGTTTTATATTTTAAAATTACTTGGGATATATATATAGGCCTCGTTGATTCCACAATCCACATTTCATTTTGTGACATAAAAATATTAGTGTCATACATTCAATATTAGTTTAACAATGCTTACAATTAAAGTGTGAATAAAATTCCATTATTTATTTAAAAATTTGTCAAATTTGGATAGATAACACAAAACTGTGGGAATATTAAACCAAAAGTGTACCAATTGCTACATTATACAAAGGTAGTGATCACCATTTAATAAACTTGATAAGACTGCATTAAAATGAAAGTAGTTTAATCCAGGGTGCATTTTGTTCAAAATTCCTTTTATACTGTCATCCAAAATATATACTGGATTAAACTACTGAATTAAACTTGATAAGACTGTATTAAAAGTGGTATATTCCAGGGAATGTTTCATGTGACAGCCCTTTACCAAATGTCAGCCAAAATGCATCCAGGATTAAACCACTTTAGTTTCAACATTGTTTTCTAAAGTTTGTTGCTTGGGGATTTCTATAATCGGTTCTAGGATTTTTTCTTTTTCTCCTCCAACAGCATCATGACAGAGTTCCCAGCATGCCTGCACTGTTGCAGGGATTCTTGCACTTACCGAATGAACTTGTATGGGTTATTGCTACATTAAATAACTTTTGATCAATTTAGTTATTGTTTATATTTGTTGTACTTTCTTCAATCGTTTCGTTTTTTATAGTTCAAAATTTCGTTTTACTTGTCCTAACTACACTAGGATCTGGAAGGGTTGTTATCATTGATGTGTTCTGGATGGTGTTAGGGGAAACGATCTGTTACGGCGAGCTTTAGGCGTGTTTTGCACGGAACTGTTGGTAATCCATTAGAAACATCAATGCTGATTGGTTAATCAAATGTCTGATGTCATAGGGTCAAAAGCTGCTCGTATGACCTCTGGCGTGACCTATCGCTACAACTTGTCAGATCTTCATGTAGTGTAGGCCATCGAAAGTATAAAAAATGAAACGAAATATGGATCTGTATTTTGATCAGATTGTACTTTTCTTATATTAGCAAGCAATTATAAAATAAATCACCATGGCAATGAACAAGCTATAATTTTATATTTATAATACTCTGCTTTATTGGCACAAATTAAATAAAGGTTTGATGCATCATTTAGCACTATAGGAATTCATTACAAACTACAATATTGGGATATCCAAAAATGGTTCAATTCCTTTCAATATTTACAAAGTTCTGATATATTGAAATTTTAATGCTGCTCGCTATGTAACAAGACGCTGCCATCTTTTATCGGTAGTGGAGAAACCGGATGGGTCTAGTTTAAATCTGATTGAATCCGAGGTGGAAGATATCTAGCGTATCTTTTTTTTCTGTTAAATAATCATTCAGAGCACATATTAGCGTTAATTAGGGCATGAGAAATTTGATATTTTAAAAAAAATGCAAATGATGAATCAAGTCTTTAATGCAGAAAATATATGCACAAGATCAAATATTGACTCTCCTCAGGTCAAGAATAAAATAATGCAGGTACTGACTCACTAGAAACAAATTATGAGGAGATCACAGTGTGTGTGTTTCAAAGTCTACAATTGCTTTACGCTTGAAAATGTTTGAAATGAATGCATTTCTAGCATTGGACATATTTAACTTGCGTTTTGTCCTTCTTTCTATGGACAAATGATTATTCGAAATTTCAAATCCAACATTCAACATGATATATGATCGAGGAAAATAATTTATTTTGATTAAAGATAATCGTGCAATTTATATTAAAATAGAAACTGCCTGTTTCAAGTGCACATATATACCGGTATATGTATATAGTATTTATGGAAGATACTTTTAGCTCAACATTTTATCAAATATGGTGCTGTATATTGTGATGTGCTAAAAATCAAAAACAATATAGGATGATGATTTTCGGTGACCCACCATACCCCAAACCCCTCTCTACAACAAAAAACCCCACTGAAAACCGGCTAATAACAAAAATCAGGTTTCTTATTTGCCCATGAGAATTTTAGTCACAAACTTGTATTTATGTGATATTCAGTATGGTCAATACTGTTATTTGAAATTTCATAAACTCAGATTCCAAATTAAATAATATAATATTAAAAGATCTAATTTCATTTAACTAACATTGTATTATCTTGTATCTCAACAATGTGTTCTTACTTTACACACATCGACCATTTATATGGAATACCAGCGCTGTTGTACTGTACTTATAGTACCATGTTTCAACCTGGGGTTTTTTGGGGGTTTTTTTTTTCAAGCACAGTGTTTCTTAATGTGCTCAATCGCTAAAAAGCTCTCAAGGATTGTGTTGTTACTAATATGTATGTTAAAAGCTCTTATATTTAGTAGGGGAGATTGTATGGCCGAATGTTTATTACATGCCCATTGTACCATAAGGTCTGTCAATGAGTCAACTGGCGTGGTTGCCTGTTCAACCTAGTGGGTTTTCTCTGGGTCCTCTGGTTTCCTCCCACTGCTAAAGACCCTTACACACAAGTGAATTATGGAAATAAAATTGAACCATGTGTTAGTCCCAAAATGACCTAGTTTGAGTTGAGTGGACGTTAAACCCCATTTCTCTCGCTCTCTTATATTTAGTTACTAAAATAAATGGGAAAAAATGAATTTTCATTATTTATTTTTGAAACGGAAAATCATCATCCCCAAAAATTGTTATAGAATTTAAAGATCTCTATTATAATATAATTACTAAGTAGCTGTTTTGAATAGATTATATTTTGTATGATATCGTATAGTTAAGTATATGGAAGTGCCTTATTGTGTATTAAGGGTGGTATGCGCCAGTCGATCTTAATCTATCTTCTAGAGACAGGGATTAAAGTTTCCATGGTCACTCTTGTTGTCACAACAAAATGAAAATTATGCTATTTAATTTAACTTAAAATCCTTTACGGATCAATAATCTATTTCTATGTAAAAGGATAAAGCCTCAAGCAAATGGCAACACATTTTATAATCAAATGTATCTGTCAAATCCGAACCATCCTTCTCAGATTGATAAATCCCAACTTGAGAATGTCTATATATTCAAAGAATAAAGCCACAAGCAAATGGAAACACATTTATAATCAAATGTATCTGTCAAATCGGAACTATTCTTTTCAGATTGACAAATTCCAAGTTGAGAAACGTCTGTATAGTTGAAGACATAAATATTGTGGCAAAGGTGGGAGGGGGTCCTGCTTCAATTTAGTTCTTGCTTTACTGACCCAGTTAATGTGAAAACTTTAATTCTTGTATCAGGAGGTTGTTATATTTAGGTATATTTTAAGGGCAGTAAAATAATGATATCTGTCATGGATTTAATATTCCAGCCCAAATATTTCTCTTATGTTTGAATGGAGCATGAAATTTGTGTAATGTTTTTGGGAAGAGATGTTAAAAAGAAAATAATAATTTGTTTACTTGTTTTGAGAAAGGGATATTTAAATTTGTTCCCTCAAAATTTGGTTTCGTATTTTTTTTTTAATATTTAATATCTATAATATACATGTACTTAACAACTTTAATGATGTCAGTTGATCGGTTATACATGTCTTTCCTTGAAAGGTTGATTAATTATTTGATATGTCTTTGATTGACAAATTGATCAATTATACATGTCTTAGCCTGAAAGGTTGATTAATTATTTGACAAGTCTTTGGTTAACAAGTTGATCAATTATATATGTCTTTGATTTACAAGTTGTTCAATTATTTGACATGTCTTTGATTCACAAGTTGATCAATTATTTGACATGTTTTTGATTGAAAAGTTTACCAATTATATAACTGTAACTGTTTCCACATGTAAATGGATGCATCCTACATTTTTTTTGATATGTTAATTATATGATTTTGATATTTGATTTTGCTTGCCTCAGTCTTATTGATTGTTTGATTTGTTGAATTTGAGGTGTGAAACAATTGTAATGTTAATGCCTCAAGGAATATTATTTAGGAAATAAAATGGACTTTAACTATCTGAAGCACATTGAAACTTTCTGTAAAGAAATACAAACTTTATGATTGGCTGTAAGTCCCCAAATTCCCTGCTAATTATAATGATGACTTTTCGGATAGGCTCAATATTTTGATCTGAAATGTTCAGATAAGGTACATATCATCACATTTTGGCATTTGATTTGCATACTTAAACCCACTTTTATTCATGGTGTCATGTGACATGTACAGATGTTTTCGATTGGTCGAATCTAATCAGTCTCCTGTTTGATTTGTTTGTTTTTTTGATTGGTTGAAACTAGTAATTGTTATAGTTATTTTTGTAAATCTTGTAAATAATTAATAAAATGAGAAACGTATAATATATATAAGTAAAGATATGTAATTTAACATTTTTTTGTGTACAAGATTTAACAATGTACAGGTAGATTTCATTAAAATTTATCCTTATTTATCTTTTCATTGTTTTATTTTGTCTATATACTGCAGTTTTCCTTGCCCAGTGTATCATAAATGTGTAGGGTTACCATACGTCCCGGTTTGGGGGGAGGAAGGGTCTTTTCTGATCAGGTGTTTCTCAGTTGAAAATAATAAAACAAATAAATTTTTGATCTTCAAGAAGGGTCACAAATCAAAGAACAGTGTGATTGGTTTCTTTGCTTGTCAAATAAATTTGGACCATTCTTTGAAATATTTGTATTTTTCAAAGAGATCGTCAAAACATGTGTAGGTCACATTCGTTGCAAAAAAACCCCTAAAAAACATATGCCAATACCCACCCTGGTAAATTTGCACCTTTGACGCTCAATTTATCACACATATCGGGCGCTCTGGGTCCAACTTTGCTTCAGCTTGATCATAATAACAAATGGCCCAGTTTCTTTTATGAATAATCTGGTAACCCTACAAATATGTCACCTATGCAAGTCATGTGTTTGACCCCACATGAATCGCGTCATCGCCTAATCTTAGTTGATTGCTCCTACAGCTAAATGACACCCACCATTGTGGGGAAGGTTAGATACAACTGAACTACAAAAATGTGTTTTACCTGTACACAGAGAAGAAATGTACACCTTTTCTGTCAAGAAAAAGAATTGATCGATTTTTGGATGATAATTTTATTAGAAATTTAACTGTTACAAATGGAACACAGAACACATGCTTCTTTATTATGTCCTAAGCCCTTACTATAGTTCAAAGATTAATAGCAACAAAATTTAAAAGAAACCAAATGGAAAATAGACCCAATCGAATTAATAGGCATTATATGCAAGAGCTGAATCTTCCTATTGCAGGTCTTTCTTTGGGCCTTAAATATTATATAAATTAATAATTAGACATTTATTAACATGACAAGACCATAATCAACTCTTGATGCCATCGGATACCTCCGATTTTAAATAGATAGAAAGGTTCGACCATTTAATGATTTAATTTAAAAATGGAGAAACAAGGCTAAGACTCGAATCACCAGTACAGTAGGTACGATCAATGCACACATCTTGTCAAAACTACAACCATTGCTAAGTTTGCTCAAAATAAAGTAATTTGAATGAAATTTTCAATATATTCATTTTGCATTATCTATTTTTGAAATATTATAGCCAGAATGTCCAGCTCTTTATCTAAATCTTACATTATGTCCCTGTAATGTTTAGCTGTTCAGGGATTTAATAAATAAATAGCCACTCGAGTCGCGTGATCAATTTTTTGGTTTAAATTTGTCAAAACTTCAAAATGTACTATCTGTCTTGTTTTAGAGTTTTAAATAAGCAAACAAACAATAAGAGTGATTAAAAATATTTTATTTAATTATATATTATTTCATATTATACATATATCTACTTTAACCTTTCCTCAACATTAACACTTTGAACACGAGCTTTGAACATGACCATCACTTGTTTATGTCCAGACAACAATTGTTGGTACCACTAGCACCACAAGGCATCTTTCTTCAACATTAACCCTTTGAACACCTAGCACCACAAGGCATCTCTTCAACATTAACCCTTTGAACACGAACTTTGAACATGACCATCACTTGTTTATGTCCAGACAACAATTGTTGGTACCACTAGCACCACAAGGTGAAATTGGGGTCATCAGGTTATGCCCCCAGCTATTGTTCTCATTGTAGGAGCAGTAAAGCATGGGGATTATCAAATACAAAAGGATTAAAACTATAGCCCGCTTCACAGAAAGGTAACAACGAAAGTGAAACTTGACAAAAACAACTTTATAGTTTACTACATTTACTATAATCTACATGAAAAAGACAAAAGATATTGAAAACAAATCATAATATATGAAATGGCGTTGGCATATTCAATAGCACTTTTTACTCCTGTCAACAGTTTGATGGAGATATACCTAGAAATCAACACTGTAATGTTCACAATATGGGTGATCAGTGACCTTCACTAGTCAAACGTTTTAGTTGCAGGAACCCAGGGTAGAGGTTGTGAAACGTTCAGAGACTGTGCTGTCAAAGAGTTAAATACCACAGGCGCCTGTAACATGGGCAACGACGTTGGTATTCCGGGAATTTGAAAGTAGTTCCGATGGCGTACTTTGTCATACAGTCGAGGCTAGATGTAGGGCACTGGAATCTGCTGAGGTTTGCCGAGTGGTGGGTGTGCATCAGTGAGAGTATTTTTGTGCTTAGAGAAATGTCAATAAACAAACAGGCTAAACCGGTGTTGACAGTGTGTAAGAATTAACTTATTTTGGGCTAATTATGCAATTTTCCTTTTCATTAGAAATATCACACTTTCAGATAAAAATAAATTTAGTTGGACAAATTGATGAGTTAATTATACACAAGATATCTTTATGACTGAGAAATTCATAATTGCAGTCATGACCTTAGCCTTAAGGCAGTGGTTCTCAACAAGTGTGCCGCAAATTTTGAAAGGCACACTAAGAAGATTTCTCACTAAGGAAGTCAGCTATTTGACTGATGAAATTCGAAACACTGCAATAAAGTAAGTTCATAGCTGTGTTTTTCTTTATTTAGTTTGAGTCATTCTATGTGCCTATGACTAGTCTGTGTCTACGGTTGTATGCCGTCTATGACTTGCAATGTTTTTATTTTGCAAACATCAAATACTTTCATATATATATTTAGCATGGTGTGCCGCTATTTTTTCATGTGTGACATTGGCAAAAAAGATTGAGAACCACTGCCTTAAGGCAACAGTGATTAATATAGCTATGCATAATTATATATGTACATTTGTTAAATAATCCTTGGTCAGTTTCTATATTCTAATAATCCTTGGTCTATATTCTAATAATCCTTGGTCAGTTTCTATATTCTAATAATCCTTGCTCAGTTTCTATATTTAAATAACTATTGGTACGTTTCTTTTACTTTGACTCAGAGAGAGTGAGACTCAGCAGTTTTCAGAACTCACTGGCACTAAAGATTTATTATGGCTCCAGGTTCATTAAAGAGTAGAAGTAGGGTATAACGTCTACTTGACACAAAATAGCTCATTTCAGGACTAACATATGGTTCAATTTTATTTCAATAATTCGCTTGGGCATAGTGGTTTTTAGCTGTGGGGGGAAACCATGTACTAAACTTAAACTGTATGTCTACAATTAGCTCCGCATGAGAACAGACACTAAGCTAGTTGACCAACATTTTAAGTTCTACTTATTTATTGAAATTGAAAAGGTTTAATTAGCCTTTTTGTGTATAATAGATGTGAAACCAGAGGAGGACTATGTCACTCCATTTTCTCAACAAAAAAATAAGTGAAATACTAGGCATCCTTGCAGTTCATTGCTAGTGCTTAGCTTGTTCCCCTTTAAATAATATATTCTACTTCTACACACACAATCTATAACACTTGAAGTTTGAGACTATATTAGTGGATTATCCAGTGCATATAAAAATAATGTAAACCAAATTAATCATGTCTGGACTTAACTATAACTAATTGTTCAAATTATATAATTATATATACTCAGGTGTAGGCCTGCATTTAAGAGTCTGTATCCTCCCTTAATTTTGACTTTTAATATGAAGACATTAAAGCCAATGTCCACAAAGAGCGACAATGAAAACTGCAAAAAGTAGTTCTTAATAGTTCTTGGACCCATGTCCCCTAAGTGTGTCAACACCACAGATAACATCATAATATCACCATGCAGAGCAACTTATGCCAATGACAACCAAGAATTGAGAATAAAAATAGAAAACTTTATCTTTTGGTTTGTCATGATCTTTTAGAAATAATTAATTTGTCAAAACAAATCTCCATTCTGATTAGTTTAAATTTTTCATACAAACTAACCATGATAAAATACTTTGATTCCTGTCGTCTTGGAAATAGATTTATTTTTAAAGAGTGAGAGGGAGAAAAATGAGGTTTAATGTCCACTCCAACACAAACTATGCTCAATTTCCTTCAATAATTTGATTGCAGGTAGGGGTCTTTAGCAGTGGGAGGAAACTGGAGTACTTAGAGAAAACCCATGTACAAGCGGGGAATTGAAACCACGCCACTTGACTCAATGACAGACCTTATGATCCAATACTCACACGTTAACAATTCGGCCACCCAAACCCCTTCATTTCTAAATCATCACATTTGACTTCATGCAGTCATATCATGACATGGTAAACTAATCACATTAAAATTTAAAACTCAAGCTATTGTTAGGGTTTGTGGACATTGGCCTTAAAAAATAATACAATTTGGCACATTTTTCTTAAATTAAAAAATGCATTGCTACATTAAGTTACAATTTGCTCATAAAAATACACAAGGCATCATGAAACAAATTCCACAAATAAAGATAAGTTTAAACCCAATTACTAGTCTAATAATAAAAAAGGGAATACATCTTGAATTATGCTACATCTAAATTACAAATAAAATGCATAAAACATTTCATTTTTTCTGGTCCATTTGAAAAATATTATTAGATATTGTAAAAATAAGATACCGGAATCCAATGACGGTATTGACTTGATTATCAGTGAAGGATAATTATGCCACATCTAAATTACAAATGAAATCATAAAATATTTTATTTTTCCAGTTCATTAGAAACATATTAGCAGATAAAAAGAAGTTAAGCAAATCGAATCATGGTATTGACTTGATTATCAGTGAAGGAATACATGTACATCTTTAATTATGCCACATCTAAATAACAAATGAAATTCATAAAATATTTTATTTTTCCAGTTCATTAGAAACATATTATACAGGTCACAATTCTATGGAATACAATTACTGCTTTTTACTGAGCGACGTTTCGACTAGGCTTCTCTAGTCATTATCAAGCTATGATAAAAATGAAAATATGACAGGACAATATATACATGTACACCACAATGCTAAGTTAATGATGACAAACCAGGGATGTAACTTAATTACGTGTACCTAATGGTAATCTGATTTAATTGTACGCTAATAAGTAATAATACCAATTAACCTAAAAAATTGACTAATTGATTAATGGATAAGTTGTTGTGGAGTATACACATTATTAACTTAGCATTGTGGTGTACATGTATATATTGTCCTGTCATATTTTCATTTTTATCATAGCTTGATAATGACTAGAGAAGCCTAGTCGAAACGTCGCTCAGTAAAAAGCAGTAATTGTATTCCATAGAATTGTGACCTGTATACTCTAGTTCAATTACTAAATGCCATTGAAACAGTTTAGAAACATATTATCAGATAAAGATAAGTTAAAGGAATCCAATGATGGTATTGACTTGATGATCAGTGAAGGAATACATCTTTCATTTATGCCACATCTACATAAATTACAAATGAAATTCATAAATATTTCATATTTCCAATTCATTAAAAACATATCGTTTTTCCAATTCATTAAAAACATATCATGAATTCTGATAAACAAAAATTCCAATTAATGATGTAATTAATAACAAAGGAATAAAACTTAAATTCTGTAATATAATGTTTTTAAAAACTATCGGGTACTCAGTAGTTTAATTCACAAATTCAAGAAAAATAGAAATTAATATTAAAATATGCAACCCTGACTGAAAAAACATAAACATAAGTTAAAGAAAACAACAAAAAAACAACGTTTGCACTGTAACTGGACTTTTTGTCCCTTATTGAAATAAAACAAAAAATTAATTTTGCCCAATTTCCAGATTGACGTTAAAGGAAATAAAAAAAGCACTTGTTAAACTGGGTTTAAGCTAAGCTCACAAACTGTGATATTTCCTGTAATATGATAATTTTGGCTAATTGGGTTATTATCAATTTTATTTTTAACCTAGGATAACGAGTTCTTGTCATTTGAAGACTTGTTATTGTGTGTATCAGGGATTCTGAAAAGACAGTAACTATGAGTTCTGTGAGTTGTAATCATTTCGTTGACCGATATAGAATTATAATACTACTACATGTACATTGTATTATCATCAACCACATACATCTACATTATTTTTATACAACAACAATTATAATTCATCCATTATAAATTACAACTATTCTAAAAATATCAGTAACAAAATCAATAAGTATTTAAATAACTAATATCTCTTTTTAAAAATACCAGTAACAAAATGAAAACAATACCTGTATGTAATTAATTATCTTAAAGCTACAATTTCATATTTTTAAGTTATATTTTTAAAATTTATTAAAATAAAGCCTTAAAATAGATGGTATCCATAAACAGTTCTACCTTGTTAAAGAATAATCCTATTAATCCTATAATTCACTATTGCCAGCTGAGAAATTGGCAAAAATATGTTTTCAGCTTCAAATTCAAACATTTGAACATAGCTATTCTCGCTTTAAAAAACATCAATGACAAAATCACTGGTCAGGTGCTCTTATAACATATGTTCGGATTCAAGAGTCATTACATTACAAAATACAAATGTAATTAATTACACTACCATTACTTTTTAAATGTAATCTCATTTTTTTTAGCAATAATCACCATTACCTATTACATTGAAAATAATTAATTACCATTATTCATTACTTAATGCTTAAAAGAACAATCTTTTTAAATATAATCTCATTTAATTTAGCAATAATCACCATTACCTATTACATTGAAAATAATTAATTACCATTTTCATTACCTAATGACTAAAAGAACAATCTTCTTACAGATATAAACAGCAATCATTGATTGGCAAGAACTGAATTTATATTGTTTCTATAGGAATTGTCATTTCTATAAAATATCACATCACCACAAAAGCAAATACCGAGTATTCAAAATGAACTGAAATGAATTCACTATTTTTTGATTTTAAGCGATTTGATAAAATTCTAAGTTGTTTAAAACATTGTAAAATTGGAAATTTAGTGTCCATTGTAGAACCATTTGAGATTGGATTGAAAATTTTTGTCACTTCATTTGATACCCTAACCTAATTTATTACACAAGCTGGGGATTTCTAGCCTAAAAATACTGCATATGACTATTATGATACATTCATAAAAAAACCTGAAAACCCCTATCGTAGTATAAAAAGCGGACTTTCCCTAACAAAGTAACAACTGTACCGGTATACATTTTTAATATCTCATTAAACATACATTATGCAAGAGCTAAATCATCCTATTGCAGGTCTTTCTTTAGGCCTGAAATGTTATCTAAATTATTAATTAGACATTAATTAACTTATCCAGATCATAATCAACTCTTGATGTCATCGCTAGCCTGCGATATTTACTAAATTAGGATCTGATCTGCTGCTCTACACTCATTCATGATTAATCAAGAAATGTATAACCAAGACTATGTATTTTATCGTACCAACTTTAGTAATGATGATCGAGGCTAGGCCCAAAATTCAATTGCTAAATTCTCGGTTCTGATTGGATCAATATGACTGAAATTTTCAGCAAATTCCCTTTACATTATCTACCTACAACTATTACAGTGAGAACTGCCAGCTCTTTATCTACTCTCCCATACTGTATCTTCAATCACACATTTATGTATTTTTGGGTTAATTCAATAATTTCTAAAAATTCACAACACTTCAAGTTCTGTCACACACGCGTTGATTTATTAAAGACTTTCGTCATCAAAAGTTCAAACGAGGCATTGATAACACCCCAGGACACAAAAGATCGAATGTAGTTTAAGTGGAAGCCGCGGAATAATTTCCGTACGCTATAGTCCCGTTCTTTTAATATAATCCTGAAAGTCTCATGAAAGGAACAAAAATCACCACCTACTTTTGATTGCATTCGAGTTTTCACAACATTCATTGGATAAAATGCAGTGCTTATAAGCGCACCCAACACTGCTCCACCTACAAAGTCTTTAATAATCTTGACGGATGCGTCATCACCTTTGTAAGAAAAATTCTCTTGGAAATAATCTCGACCAACGAAAAATAAGACATTACTAGGTCCGTTCCGTAGCAAAATGGGCAGAAATCCTCGATAATATTCGTGGATGCCAAATGTTCGTAATTCTTTAAAGGCATGGATGGTGTTTTTGAAATCTTTATGGTATTTTTTGTCTTGCATCAGAACTTGTACCCTTTCGAAAGGAGTAAAAATTCCCTCTAATGTTCCTGCACCCATTGCAGCTATAGAAATTGTGGCGTATTTCGACTCGAGGGAAAAATGCTCATCTATTAATCTCTGAAATCGATAAAAACTTCCAAACATGACAGCCAATGATGTTGTTTTTTGCATCAAAGGTGGCATCAGCCCTCGATACAAATTTCTAAAACCTTCTTTTCGTAACTGTTCAATGGCCCTGAAGGAAGATATACCATAGAGTTGCTGTCGAAACATGGCCTTATTAATTGGGAAAGTCACAGTGATGTTGATAAAGGCCGCACCACCCCCACTGACCACCTCAGCGTAATGATTTACTTTATTTACGTCAATAGCTTTCATTCTGATTTCTTTAATCTTGTTCATTTCCGCCTGTCAGTAGCTAAATCTCCTGTCTTTGAGGTAGGGTAGAGGATATGGATCAGAGACAGTTGACTCAAGTCACCATCTGTAGTTTTTGCTGTCTTTCACATTCTGAAAGACAAAATAATCAGGACTATAGAATGTTTAAATCTTATTTTACTTTCAATTTAATTAGTATTTTTTGGGTGGATTAAACTGAAGTGGCCTCTACATCTATGTAGTTACCATATTATTATTAACCAGTTTCCTGGATCTCACATCAACATGTACATATGTAGGCAAATTATAGTATAGGCCTACATTTTTTGAAAATCTTGGTTTCTTCCTAAAAAAAGCAACTGCACCCTGAAATGTTATTTTTGATTAAAAATAGTACTTAGATCTTTTTTTAGTAAACTAGCAAACTTACAATAAATCAAGTTTATGATGTTTTTTATTCTATTGATTTCAAACTGCAATCTCTATCTCACCTCCAAAGACATATATAATATTTGAGCTACCTTTTTCATTCAAGCTAGCACATTCTTCCTAAACATAATTCTATACTCACAGAATTACATAACAACAGCAGTTTTCACATTAAAATGGTAAATAGTTTTGACATTTGAAATATGAAATATTTGAACCATCCACCTTGTTATGCCTTTTCTTCACATTTTAAACAAGATGTTGAACTTGTGTGTACTGACTGCTTTGTGCAAAACAACCCAAATAAGCTCAGATACATCAGATAACAGTTAGAAAACACTATATCTACATATGGGTTCGGTGTTGGTTACATGAAAGTAAACTATTCGTCTGTGAACGCTCTGTCACTCACCAAACAAAGAAATCTTATGGGATATCCATGCAATCTTGTTATGTAATGGACATGGTTCATGATATGCTCACATTGTAGGTTAAAAGGCTACATCTATATATATATATATATATATACAATAGGTAAGTAAGTGTGTTAAAGCAATGAAAAAGAACATTATAAAAAGCTGTTTATAACCCACATAAGCTCAGAAAAATGATCCTGTCAAGTTCATGACATGTACTACTTTGCTTTAATGACATTTAATACTAAGAGAGAGAGAGAGAGAGAGAGAGAGAGATGGGGTTTAATGTCCACTTGACACAAACTAGGTAATTTCCGGACTAACATATGGTTCTATTTTATTTCAATAATTTGATTGCGCGTAGGAATCTTTATTAGTGGGAGGAAAACGTAGGACCTGGAGAAAACCAACGTGGTTTGACAGGCAACCCTACTCCTTGTCACGTAAAACCGGGGACTCAAAGACAGACCTTATGATACAGCGCCCACATGCTAACCATTTGCCCACCCCCGCCCCCAGTCCACACCCCGTAGAGAGTAAAGGGTTTATCTATAGTTTCATCATGAACCTATAATCATAGAGCATGTCTGTTATATAAATGTACTCAGAGTTTGTTGGAGTGTAATCTTGTGTTTGAACCACAGTTCAATCATACCTTTATTTATTTCTTCCTAACTAATTAGGTGACCAGTAACAGGTCAATTTGAAACTTAATTTGATTTAATTGATGAAAGCTTTAATTTGATTTAAGGATGTATGGCCTTTTCTTTACTTTGATTTAAAGATTTATGGCCTTTCCTTACTTTGATTTAAAGATTTATGGCCTTTCCTTTACTTTGATTTAAAGATTTATGGCCTTTCTTTACTTTGATTTAAAGATTTATGGACTTTTCTTTACTTTGATTTAAAGATTTATGGACATTCCTTTACTTTGATTTAAAGATTTATGGCCTTTCCATTTACTTTGATTTAAAGGAACTAAATTGCTATTCTTTGGCACCTAGAAATGGACACAAATGGGTTATAACGCATTCAATTTGACAATAATGTATTATGAATGTATATAAACTATTTTTACTGTAATTTCTAATCAGTTGGGAGGTTGGATGGCCAAATGGTTAGCACGCGCGTGCCGTATCACGAGGCCTGTCACTGAGTCAACTGGCGTGGTTTCAAATTCCTGGCTGTACCTGACAAGGAGTAGGGTTGCCTGTCCAACCTCGTGGGTTTTCTCCGGGTCCTCCGGTTTCCTCCCACTGCTAAAGACCCCTACGCACAAGTGAATTAATGAAATAAAATTAAACCATATGTTAGCCCCGAAATGACCTAATGTGTCGAGTGGACGTTAAACCCCATCTCTCTCTCTCTCTCTCTCTCTCTCTCTCTCTCTCTAATCAGTTATGTTCGGCTAAATACGCAAAGAGTCCAAACGGAATGGCTGTCTTTGGCGTCTGGTTATTTCAGTCTACACCTGTAGTATTCTCCTATGGGGTATGTTTAGCCTCGTTCATCGAGTCGCTTCATAACAAATGACGCTCGAAAGCATTCTGACACATGATTCATGAGCCAATTTTAACATTTTCATTTTGTCTTAAACATGCATTATGCAAGAGCTAAATCTGCTTATTGCACTTCTTTTTTTAGGCCTGAAATGTTATCTAAATTATTAATTAGACATTAATCAACCTATCCAGATCATAATCAACTCTAGATGGCATCGTTAGCTTATGATTTTTAGTAGATTTTGAGCCGAGTTACTGCATAACTTTCCTTCACAATTTAACGATTAAATGTATAATCGAGACTATGCCGTTTATCGTACTGACTTTAGTAATGATGATCAAGGCTAGCCGGAAATTTCAACCGCTTTTATTAGTTCTCGGTTCATAGTGGATCAATTTGAATGAAATTTTCAGCAAATTGCCTTTACATTATGATATAGTTTTTAACTACATGTATTATAGTGAGAACTGCCAACTCGTTATCGAATCTCCCATAATGTATCTTTAAATATTGGATATCAGAAGCCCATCTTTTCATGGTAAGATAACAACATCGAAGACTGTGGATGATATTGAGTTAGTGACTAAAGATAGGTTAATTTAAACATATCTTATTGATACATATCAAAAGGATCAGGTACAAGTTTAAACAACTTAGAGAAGTCCTTTCCAGCAATCTAGGGTACCGTATGTATAGTCTTGTCTTTAACTAGATTTAAATAGGTCTTTTGTTTAATTTGATTTAAAGATATATTATGATCTTGTTTACATTGATTAAAAAACATAAGGTCTTTTCTTTACTCTCAAATTTAAAGATATATGATCTTTTCTTTACTTTGATCATGATATAAAGATATATATGTTTTTTTCTTTACTTAGATTTAAAGATATATGGTCTTATTTTTTATCATGATTTATGATCTTTTAGATTTATAAGTATTGATAATTGAGTATATCATTCTACAGTACCATACTTAAAATGTTGTATGATAATGAGTGGATATATATTATTGTATACATTAGATAATGCCAATGGTGTTGGTTAAGAATTATTTTATCTTTATTGTTGATATTAAGATTAACATGAAATGCTGTCTGAGACTCTTGAGTCTTATTTAATTGTGAAAAGGGAGACTACCCCTGTTTTCAATAACCTTGCTTTTTCTGGCCGTTATGTTGTGGTAATAATCAAAACAAAAATATAAATCTAAAGTATGGTGATTTTAGCTAAAGCATACATTTACAGGTCACAGTTCTATGGAATACAATTACTGCTTATTATGTTTCGACTAGGCTTCGATCTCTAGTCATTATCAAAAATGATAAAATATGAAAATATAACAAGACAATATATACTATACATGTACATGTACACAACAATACCTAGTTAAGGATTATAAAGTTTAATGCTAATATCAACATTCAATACGACCATTTTACCTGAAAGATTTGATTAAATTTTGATTAAGTTGAAAGAGGATGAAATTCAATAAATTAACACAAATTAATTAATTGGATAAAATGTTATCAACGACCACTTTACCTTAAATTAACACAAATTAATTAATTTGATAAACAACCACTTTACTTGAAATTAACACGAATTTTAATTTGTGTTAATTTCAGGTAAAGTTGTTGTTGACAACATTTTATCAAATTTCATCTTCTTTCAGCGTTTATCAAAATCTAATCAAATCATTGTACATACTCCACAACAAGTTATCCATTAATCACTTAATCAATTTGTGTTAATTTTCAGGTAAAGTGGTCATGAATGTTCTTATTAACATTAAACTTTATAATCTTTAATTAAATTAGATTGCCTTTAGGTACATGTAAGGGGTATCTCTGGTTGGTCAGCATTAACTAAGTATTGTTGTGTACATGTATATATTGTCTTGTTACATTTTCATATTTTATCACTGCTTGATAATGACTAGAGAAGCCATATTCCAGTTCAATTACTAAATGCCATTGAAACAATATAGAGCATACATGTACTAAAATGAATAATGCTCATAAATTTCAAGCAGATGAGATAAGAAACAGTTTACAAGGATCATAACTAGAATTGAAATTTAATAGGCTTCTTGTATGGGATGATAACTTTTGTCACTAGATCATACAAAAAAATTCTACAAAGTAAGCAATTAAAGGCCATTAACAAGTCTCTAAAAAAGTAATTAAATAAATGCATTAGGCTTTTTTGTTTCTCTAATTTGAACAATTCATATGGTTATAAATTTCAAGTATGGTACCTCAATTCTTGATAAGAACATTTGATTCAAATCGCATCTGCGTTGTCGTTAGAGAATTCATAAAGTGATCAAGGCAAATGTCTCTGGAAATATTTACAGGTATCAGAAATCAATAATGTTGTGAACGAGATTTTAGAAAGATTGGAAGATAATAAGAGTCTGCAGAGTAGAGTGTTCACAGCTAGACTATGTGGTGACATATATATTATTATAAAAATAAAAACTATGGTATTTAAAACATCACAATCTAAAAACAAACAAAACACACTGAAAATTTCAATCAAGGGGGAGGTGAGCTCACTCAAAGTTCATGTTTTGTGCTCATATCTAGCCCATATTAATAATAAATTTTATCTATTCATTTGTGAACCACAATAGTATTTAAATAGGACAGTAACTGGTTGGTTTTAACTGTATTTTTTTTTTTCTTTGCTCATATCTAGCCCATATTGATAATTTATTTGTGAAGCATTATAGGACAGCCACTGGCTGGTTAGAAATGGTGTTGTCCATTGTGCTAACAGTAACACGCGATCAATAGAGGATGCACTTGCTGAGATGTGATTGCTTTGAAAGTTTGATTGAACAAAAGGTTGCAATAATACATGCATATCAATCATCATCAATCAACAACATTGTAATTGTTACATTCCATTCAATCATGAGTGACAATATGTTCAAACTGAGAGGAAAAAAGAAAGTTCACTATCAATGACTCTATTCGCATAGTTTCCTTGAATAAATCCACTATAAATCGTACCTTTTTCGAAGCAATATTGCATAACAAGCAATAAAACTAAGTATAAATGCACTTTATATACTGTGCAACAACTTTCATGTGTTGTTGTCGTGTAAATCTGGAATTATCAGGGGTGGTAACTCTGATTAGCCCGACATTTTGGGGGAAAACGAATTAAATAGAACCGAGTGTTTCGTTTCATTCCTTTTTTTTATTTTTGAGGGATGATATGCTAATTTGAATTACCATTATTGAATTTAGTGTAATTGTCAGTACAGTGAAGTATTTATGGCTTCAAAATAGTTATTAATATATTTAAATTCTGATGCATGGGAAAGAACTGCGTTTAATAAAAATATAGTCTTGTTTTATGGGTCTAATTTCATTTTTGTGGTTGTCGTGCTGGATAATCAAACATAATAATCTATTAATAGATATCGTAAATACTATATATGGTAATATGCATGGGAATCCCCTTCGATTAATTAATTCAAAACGAGGCTGGGTGTTTTCTTAATTTATACGGAGGAAGGAGTTTAGTCACTGACTGAAATTCGTTCATTACTAATATTAGAAGGCACCATTCGTAAGAGGACGTGCTCATTTTGAAGCTTGTTAGTTCAACGAATACAAAAATACAACAAAATGCAGGTAGAATATGTGTTTTAGTAATTTCTTAATTCAATAAATGTGTTAATCAGGAAAAGAGCCACTGCCCTGGATGAAATAAATAGTGATGAACTCTGGAGCACCAGTCCGGGAATCCCTGTGTACTCTTCTAAAACGTATAAAAGTGAATATAAGGTTACTCTTTGACTTGTCTGCGATATCACCTATGGTGGAAGTGGACGTAAAACTTTAGGAACGAACGAACGTACTCGATTCATTGATACAATCTCCTGTATATTTTGACTTGCCATATGGTGGCTAATCATGAGAGATGATCCGGTTTTCTTACTCTGGAAGAAAAATTGATTTAAAAGAATTAAACTTCTTTGATTTGGGTCCAAAATATGATGGATTTTAAATGTTGAATTCCCACTGTTTTCATTGAAAATCTTGCGTCTATTTTAGAATCCAGATGCTGATACTGAGTGGAACGATGTTCTCCGATCTAAAGGCATTATACCACAAAAAGAAGCAGAAATAACAGAAGAAGATATCGTACAAATATTAGAACAAACTGTTCAGGAAAAACAACATGGTAAGTCAGCTTAAAAACTGACAATTTCCAGCACAGTATTTCGGTCAGGGAGAGGACCTAGAAATAGTTCCACTACTGATGTCTTCCGCCTAGCAGCCACAGTAGTGGCTCGTCCTACGGAGTTCCCTTGCGCAAATTTTTTAGTCAAATGACTACAAAAAGGTTACTGGCCTATAGCTCCCTTAATTTACACATAAACTGACCAAAAACTGTAATGCACATAGCTTAACATATAATAAACCAATCCGATTGAAATAAAGGTGAAGCCTACCGCATAATGATATGAAACCCAACCGCTACGCAAAATTTATATCCTACCGAACTTATTTCAACTGGCCGGTGTCATGGCGGCTTTCACATGGCACTGGAAATGTAGAACGCATAACCACAAAGAAAAACTGTTGGGTAACTTTTTTAGTGGTCCACTCTTTACAATTTGTGATAAAATTTTCAAGATTCTCTGAGTCTCTCCGCTCAGTGACATATTTTTTCTCAATTTCTTTATTCCCCTTTCAAAATCATTCCTATCTAACCTCTTTTATTTTTAACAAATCAAAAAATAGAAGTCCTATTCATGTTAGCCCTCTTTTTAGTAAGTATGATTTATTTATTAAACATACATTATGTAAGATTTAGATAAAGAACTAGCCATTCTTGTTATAATAGTTCGAAAATAGATAATGTAAAATGAATAATTTGAAAATTTCATTTAAATTACTCTATTGCGAGCCAAGATATTAGCCTTTGAAGGTTTGACAAGACGTGTGCAATAATTTCAACCACCATACTGGTTGTTAGAAGCTAAGTCTCGCTCCTCCATTTTTAGCTTAAATCAAAATATTGCTGAACTGTTCTAATCTATTTAATATCGGAGAAACCCGATGCCATCGAGAGTTGATTATGGCCTGGATAATTTAATTAATGTGTCTAAATAACTTAGAAAACATTTAGCTCTTGCATACTGTATGTTTAAACAAGGTATTGTATTTTAAAGGTAAAGCTATGGAAGATATGTCTTTAAAGGAACTAGATAAAATAGAAGATGATTTAGATGATGAAGATGAACGAATGTTTGAACAGTACAGGTAAAAATAATTAACACTATTGTTGTGTCACATCACAGAACATTCAGGCACCCTAAAGGTGCAATTACTTTACCGGTATGTCTTTTAGCAATTGACCTGTTGCTTTAGTAACTAACCTGTCACTCTCAATTATCAAAGACAAATCACATCACACATTATCCATACATGATTACATGTAGGTACACAAACACTCTAAAATTGTTTACGTCTTTATGTACATTGCTCCATATAATATTTATATCATAAATATCGTTATATGAAACCTTTTTATTTCTTCGACCTCGAAATGCCTGAAGATGCTGGAAAGTCTGTGAATCTGCTTTGCCTCATTGACTCGAAGATTCATGCAATTCTATAATCGGTATCCATGTGAATTCCGCCAAGTATCAATGGTACCAAACTTGCATGCTCAATTGAAAACTTCACCATTGGGGTGTAGAATTCAGATTCTAAAATATCTGTAATAAAATTAATATCAAAACACGAGATGACACCTGTGGCTGTGCATGTCACCATATTTACATGTACTGCATGCGAAGGAATTTCGTTCTCACACCCTGTCTATAGTTACCCTACAAATTATATTTATAAATAAAATATTTTTCCGACCTAATTATTTGATTTTGTCAGATTTACTAGTAAATTATTTATAGCCTTTATTTATGGAAATTGATTTAATACACGAGACAATGAGCCATGTGCATTTCCATTCCCCCCACCACTATTTTATTTACTGTGGTGTCGTTATGGTACAATAAGGTCAGATGACTTGGTGCGTTTTAATTTATTTAGATATAATACTTCATAGTGCTATAAACTAGTGTCAAGCTGATGAAAACAACCGTAGATGGTGTGAAATTTATTATTATAAAATTGGCCACTTCCAACTGTGTGGGTAACTAACTGTATGACAATGCAAAGTGGAAACAGTGCAAATGAGGGCTTTTCGCGGTATTTCCGTTCCTAATTCTTGCATTTAGAAACGAATAATTAAATGTACGTGGCATGGACATGAGTATTGTGGTCTTAAATCAATTTTCTGAATATCAAGTAAATTTTAGTCCACCATAGGTCAAGGTTGTATTTCAACATAACCCAGTTGGTCAGGACAGTCGGCAGGACAAAGAATCAAGTTCCACCCATCATGCACACTGTACACATTAATGTACACATGAGGGTAGGTAAAACGTTGATTCCCATACAAAATTGTTGCCCGTAACCTGCACATGACCCCAGGATCAGCTCTGGAAAACCAGGTTCATTAGCCAAATAGGCAAAGTGTTAGCCATATATTAAGCTTGTTAGGCAAACAAATAAAGTAATTATTGGGTCAAGCGATTAAATAATCATCTCCTTTTGTCGCCAGAATTATTGCTAAAAGGGAATTCTGTTCGCCATGTGAATGAAATTTTTCACCATTGGTGAGCGGCCAGAGCTAGCTCTGTGACTAACTGTATGTTAGTCTCAAAACAACTAAATAATTGTGTAGACAAGATTTTTAGCTTTAATGAATAAAACTGGTTTAAGTGTGCTGAATAATCCTTGCAAACTATGATACTATCTGATACCTTTTTGAAGAAATGTAAATTTTGTGTTTCTGTGAAGGATTTAAGTCCCCAGATTCCACACTATGTACATATCTGGCATCTCCAGATGGTGCAATATTTTTATTTGAAATGTTTAGACAAGGTAAATAGACTACCTGTATGTATGGTCACATTTAGGTACTTAGACCCACGTTTATTTCTGATGTCATGGGAAATCCAGGACGCCCCATTTAGTCAAAGAGATTGGGTCATATCTTTTCCAGTCAGCATTTTAAAATTTGTTTTTACAGACGACAGAGAATAGCAGAAATGCAAGCTTTTCAGTTGAAAGCCAAATATGGTGATGTAGGGGAGATAAGTAAGGCTGATTATGTTCGAGAAGTTAACGAGGCTGGAGAAGGTGTCTGGGTTATTTTACACATTTACAAACAAGGGTAAGTAGTGTTACTCTGTGACCATAAAGTACAGCAAATATTTCAAATTTTTTAAAATCTTGACAATATGGCATTTCAGAGAGGATGTCTGTACATGACTAAAATTAGACTGTATACATTCCTTGGGTCTATTATTGTTTTGTTTTATTTTGGTGCTGTTAAAGTATTTTAAATATTGTTAAACATACATTATGCAAGAGCTAAATCTGCCAATTGCAGGTTTTTCTTTAGGCCTGAAAGGTTATCTAAATTATTAACTAAGACATTAATTAACTTATCTAGACCATAATCAACTCTCGATGTCATCGCTAGCCTGCAATATTTACTGGATTAAAATCAGATCTGCTCAACGTTCATTCATGATTAAATCACAAAATGAATAATTGAGACTATGTTTTTTATCTAAATTATTAATTAGACATTAATTAACTTATCGCTAGCCTGCGATATTTACTGGATTAGGATCCGATCTGCTGCTTTACACTCATTCATGATTAAATCAAGAAATGGATAATCGAGACTATGTACCAACTTTAATAATGATGATCTAGGTTAGGCCCCAAATTCAATCGCTAAATTCTCTGTTCAGAGTGGATCAATTTGACTGAAAATTTCAGCAAATTCCTTTTACATTATCTACCTACAACTATTACAGTGTGAACTGCCAGCTCTTTATCTAATCTCCCATAATGTATCTTTAATAAATTTTAAAACAAAATATAATGGGGCCATATTATGCCACCAGGAATTTTAGAAAAGCCCCAAATAGTTACATGTATAAAACGCTGTATGTACACAATTTTGATTTATATTAACCATTTTCAAATGCCATAGCAACTACACATATGCCATAATACATATGCCATAATAATTTAGTTAATTTAAGGTCATTTGGTCAAAACACATCTGTGCCAGGAGTCATATTTTTGAAACGTAGTTATTGCCTTTACATGTATGTAAACAAATGTATCCATGTATGTTGTATATAGTAGCAGAAAAAAAAAGTAATTTAGGAATTCCAAAACCACCACAAAAATTAAGGCTGGAGTTATCTCCCATTAAGACTAAAATCTGCAATGAACAGCAGCTTCCAATTCATATTTGAAGATGAACGACATGGCATGTATGGTGAGAAGGCTTTCTTCTTATTAGAGTAAGAAAAGACATATTTATGGTTATGGTTTACAAACCATGTTAGCAGTTTTTATTTATTTAGAACTTGTCTCCCTAAACTATTTAGTAACTTCCAGTATAGTTCTTGCATTTAAGTGGACTGTGGAAATTTACAGTAATTTGTGTAAGATGATTAACAAATAATATATATAATCATTCATTTACACCAACTCAACTGTGAAAACATGGACCTTGACCTCTCGGATATAAAAGGGTGCAGTGACTTCTCGGCAACAATCGTGTACAGTGACTTCTCAGCCATAATCTTGGTTATAAAAGTGTGATGTGATCCCTCATCGACAAATGTATGCAGTGACACTCTGGGCCATAAACAAGGGCAATGACGGCTTGATCACAAAATTAATGTGTGCAGTGACCTCTCGACCCCAAATGAGTGCAGTGACCTTTACCGTAAACAGTTAGCTCCTATTACCACCAGTTAGAACCTATTACCACCAGTTAGCACCTATAACGGTCTACGTCCTGTTGACGTCATGACGTAAAGCGGTCAGTCTAACTAAAGGCAGAAGTGAAATATTTTGTATGCTTATTTCAAACGACTACTGCCTGATAATTATAAGTGATAGACTCTTGACACCAATAAAAAAGTTGAAGGAGAGAAGTTGATCTATAATTTGCACGTTGTCTCTCGTTTTCTAAATCATTTTCATCAGAAATATCGTCTTCAGAATCAGTGTCATCGATGTAATCCGAGTCGGAATCATTCATAAGCATTTCAGCCACTTGATGTCTTTAACCTTCCCGACATCATTAAAAAATTATGTTTTTTGTCAAAAAATGTTGAATAAAGGCATGTTTTTCTCAATGCCCTTGATAAGACAAGTTCCTGTCTGACACGCATGCGTGGCCATATCGATCAAATACGAAACTAAATACTGAAATGTGATTATAACACCTATAACCGCCAGTTAGCACCTATCTATGATAGGGTGCCCCAACATCAATATAAATTGCCAGTTTTTAAAGTGCAATAAAGAAATAGACTTAACAAGGTACACATCTGGCATTTTTGAATGCATTAAAGGTCACATGTCCATGGTTTGCCATTAGTCCCGCTGAACCAGTCTACCGACCGTTCTCTGGTTTATTGACAGGCCGATTAATCAAGATTATTCTATACAAAACATTACAGAAAACTAGAACAAGAAATCTAATTTAGTAACACACTATTAGCTAAGTCATTGCACATATGACCTCCTGGTATTAAGCCATCGCTTACATGTATTTACTGCCCCCCCCCCCCTTGACTCCTAATTTTTGTCGAACTAATCACAGAAGATAATCTTCAAGTTTTAGGGTTGGACATGGATGACAAAACTATCTTTAAATGAACATGTGTTTAAATATTTTAATTCTATTTTATTTCAGAATACCAATATGTTCACTTATCAATCAATATTTGACCACATTAGCCAGAAAGTTTCCAGCAACAAAGTTTTTAAAAAGTATATCAAGCGTTTGTATACCTAATTACCCCGACAAGAACCTCCCCACCATATTTGTATATTTTGAAGGAGATCTGAAGAAGCAATGGATAGGACCTTTAGCTTTTGGAGGAATGAATTTAAAACAGAATGGTAAGTCGAGATAGTCTTTTTATTCTCTGGTATGGACCTTGGGGGGTTGGTTAATGTGTGCGCTTTGTATCACATGTATGTCATTGAGTCAAGTGACGTGGTTTATTGAAGTACATTATTGAAATATAATTGAACCATGCTAGTCCCGAAATGACCTAGTTTGTGTCAGTGGAGTGGACTTTAAATGCTCTCTCTCTCTCTCTCTCTCTCTCTCTCTCTCTCTCTCTCTCAAGTTTCCCCTTGTCAGTTGTGCAGGACATTGGCTTTAATAAAACCATTAAATCCATAATATTAAAATATGCTTACCATGCTATCCATGAATGCACATACAAATAGTCATTCTTCTGCTACATGTATATTTATCTAATTCATTACTCAAAATTATTATCAGAAAGAAAAAGCATATTTTAGTACTAGATGTTTGAATTGTGGAGGAGCAGGACAATTGCTGGCGAGGACATCCGGCGTTTTTTGTTATGATAATAAATCAAAAATAATCAATAAACACTTAAATATTATCATTTATCACCCAATAATATATTTTACAGTAGATATCGCTTGTGTGATAAACTTCATAATCTACTGCGATATCGCTTTAAATGAATTTGATTGGTCAATTAAAAAGGAACTACTTTTTTTATTTTCACAGAACAGTTCATTTTAATATGCCCACATTGAAATGTGGTCGTATATTGTTGTTGCCCCTGTCCGTCATGAGACGAAGAAGCCTTTTGATTTTCAGCGATTTCCGATAACTACTGCCAGAGTTATGGCCCTTGATCACTTTGAAAAATCTTGTGGACGCTCTAGAGGCTAAATTTAATATCCGAATGACAAAGAATCCTATTGACTTTCAGTGATTTCCGATAATTATGTCCCTTCATCACTTCAAAATATCTTGTGGGCGCTACACAGTGTTTAAAGTTACGAGACAAAGAATCCTATTGATTTTCAGCAATTTCCGATAATTACTGCCCGAGTTATGGCCCTTGATCACTTCAAAATATATTGTGGATGCTCTTGAGGCTAAAGATAATATCCGATTGACTTTAAATTTATACAGTGTTTATGGCCCTTGATCACTTTGAAAAATCTTGTGACGCTCTAGAGGCTAAAGTTATGATCTGATTGACTTCAGATTGATACACAGAGTATAAGGTCTTGAGATTGAACAAGCATATTCATTTTCAATGAATTCTGATAACTGAACAGCTAAATCCATGATATTAAATGTTTAGTATACTAAACATTAGCATGGGTCAGAACTTTATAAAAACCGAACAAATTCTAATGATTTTTTGATAATTACTTAATGAGTTGTTACTCTTAATCAGATTTTAGTGTATTATAAATGTTTCATTACCGAAAAAAGTAGAAATATGCGACGACTCTTGTTGACTGCCCGTACGATTTATTTTATTAAAAAGGTACTATTTTTATTTAATTGACCTTGATGGAAAAACTGGGTTAATATAAAGGACTTTGCTATTGTTAAATTTCTGTAAAAAAAAATGATGTAACACTACCCCGTAATGTAATCAGGTTCAGTAATAGTGAAATCTATAGTAAAGAATTATATTTATTTATTTATATAAGAAAGGATTGTACTGACACAGCTCCATATTGATTTGATGTCCGATATAAATCAATTGCTAAATGCCTCTCAAGGATTTATGTTAACAGTTATGTTTTTGTATACATTTTTTTAAGTATAGTTTATAACCGTTTCCTGATATATTACAGAACACAATTTTTATGGGAAACAATCACTGGTTTTATTCTAAAAGCACGACGTTTCGACAAGTATCCTCTTGTCGTTATCACGCACAATGACATTTAGTAAACTTGGGTTTAATATATAAGAGTTCATGATGAAGCCATTTACAAAAATTAAATAATAATAACAATAAGAAGTAATAAAAGATTAAGCAAAAACAACACAATATAATAGACCCATGGTCCAACCAAAGGGTAATATTGACAAACAATGAATGCCTTCAAAGGGAGCCATTGGGTGAAACCATATTACATATATCATTTAATAAACTATGCTAAAAAGAACAGATAAAAACACTGGCAATAAAATCAACAGTTAGAAACTATAAAAAAAAAAAATGGTTGGCAGTTGACCAGCCAGCAATGGTCTAACCGGCAGTTGTTCTGCCAGCAATGGTTCAACTGGCAGTTGTCCTGCCAGCAATGGTCCTAGACCCTGTGATGCAATATACATGTACCGAACAAGATGGTATTCTTCTTTGGCTAATCAGACACTGACTAGATAATATGAGAGAATCTCTTTAGGACCGTTTTCTTTTATGATGATGATTATATATAAATGGTACTATTTCAGATTTAGAATGGATGTTAGCACAAACGGGTGCCATACAGTCCGATGTAGAAGAACCAGTTAAACCAGTTATTAAAGATGTTATGAATATTGCCATTAGACAGAGCAATATTAACGATGACAGTGAGGATGATGATGATTGATAATAAAATTTTAATTTTTTATTTATTTTATATAAAAAAACAACCTTGGCTTAAGTTTTTTTTTTATATACCCTACATTGAAATGTGGTCGAATATTGTCATCACCTTGCTACATCTAGCTGCCACAGTTATCATACAATTGACTTTCAATTTATGCACACAGTTTAACGTCACAAGGTGAATAATTATGAATATTGAAATGTGGTTGTATATTGTGGTGGATGCTCCAAAGATCTCCCAATTCCTATTGATTTTCTATGTTTTCAGATAATTACCCCTGATCATACATTTTTTCGACATATCTTTCAAGGCTTAACCCACACTAAAGTGTACTCAAATTGATTTTTTATACGTCCACATTGAAATCTGGTCGTATATTGTTGTAATTACCCATTCGTCCAGCATCCACAATTGGTTGTGGATGATCTAGAGATAAATTTCTGATCTGATTTACTTCAAATTTACACCCAGTGTTATGTTCATGAGACAACCAACGATTTTTGATAATTATAGCCCTTGATCAATAATTATCTAAATAATTATCTATAAATATGTAACAAACTATGGACTGCTTCTGTGAACCGATCTTTGACACTTAATTTAGAAAACAAAACCAACAGATCAATGGAAATAAAGATCATTCCCAGGCTTGTATTTAATGCATTTAATAGAAAAAAGAGGCAACATAATTGTGAAGATAGCCTGTCTATGTTGTCTTTTGTGGATGTTGGATGTGAAAATTTTCATTTCCTCATAACTTTGTATATACAGCACCGATCTGAACCATTTTTAGACTGCTAACAATAACTTAGTTTGCAAGAGATTCAAAATCGTCCAGATGTAGTAGTAGAAGTGAGGCTATATATTGCTCATTTCAACTGTTGCAGAAGACTGTGGTCGAAACTCTGTGATTATCAATTAGCTTATTTGCTTGATAAAGAAATTTTGCTCGAACAGCGGCACTACAGCCTATTCTTATTTCAATTTCCCACTGTCAAGGTTTTTTTTACATGCACACCGATGTGTACACAGGACCTCAGTTTTTCGTCCAATCTGAATGGCTATACGTTGTCCCTTGACAGGCCCTCTGTCCTGCACCACTGACAAGTGGGAACCACGCAGAAAAATCCCAATGAACTTTCTCGGCCAACTCACCAATGTCGGCATGGCTCCCCATGACCCATTGTACACCGTCGATTACAACCTATTGGGGTTTGTGTAGTAACACAGTTAATTTTAAAGTAGCTTAGTCTCTAACACAATGTCATCAAAAGTCTTCGACATTGGAAACACAAATTATTTGTCAATTAAAATCAACATTGGTCTTGTGATCTTACGGGGAAAAGATGGGCTTCTGATATTCGATATTCAAGACAAAATAAACATTTTACCATTGGTACACAAATCGTGTACCACAATGCATTTCAGCGCCATTTGGAACGAGGGACTCAAAGAACGAGGCTAGACATATTCAACAAGTCATGTCAAATAGTGACGCTATATACTTATCTGGAGAGCATGCGCAATAAATACCATTGGTTTAGACTGGAATAACCAGACGCTAAAGATTGTCATTCAATTGAGACTTCTGGCTTATCTCGCCGAACATAACTGATTAGAAATTACAGCAAAACAGAAATGGTTAAATGTAAATCAGTTTATATATACATTCATATTACATTATCATATGTGTTGCAACCCATTTGTGCCAATTTCTAGATCCCAAATATTAGCGATTTAGCTCCTTTAAAATGGTCATTAAATCTTTTGGGGCCAATTTTTTGATTGGGACATAGGTAGCTGCCTATAGGTAACCCGCCCTCATTAAATTTGAGGCTGTGGTCACCTTTACTTGTTCAGAGGGTTCGAAAATATTTTTAAATCGAAGTTTCATTTGAAAAGGTTTACGTTTCAAACCATTTTGTTGAATTTTTCAAAATTTTTAAATAAGGTGTGTTCAGATGAAATTTGTATCATCAATTAATTGAAATATTCCAAAATAGTACAATTTGTTGACCAGAATAAAGATTGGGACATATTATTCAGTTACAACAAGAGTGGTATTGAACCTTTAAGTAACAAATATGTTTCAGTTGTCATGATTGGTTGAGATATTTTTTATGCAGTTGGCACATGCGTTGTACTCCGAAATTCTCTTTTTCACTCGATTGACACTACTTTTGGAATTAAGAGAATTTTATTCCGGGAAGTTCAATCGAGTATTGCCTAGAAGAAGATGAAGAATTGGACCACCGAAAGGCTGTGAAAACTATTATAGAAGAGTTGTGTGGTAAGTGTACGAGACGGACCGACATCTGTATTGATTTGTTGCCCATGCCGCTGCTCCCATGAAACAAATGTCATTTTTATCAGGGTGGGTGGCCGAATGGTTAGCGCGTGCCCGCGTGGTATCGTGCTGTCTGTCATTGAGTCAACTGGCGTGGTTTCGATGGCCGGTTGTACGTCACAAGGAAGGGCGTCGCCAGTCCAACCTCGTGACTTTTCTCCGGGTCATCCTGCCCCCCCCCCCCCTCTGCTTAAGCCCCCTACGCGCAAGCGAATTATTGAAATAAAATTAAACCATATGTTAGTAATGAAATGACCTAGTTGCGTAAATATAATCTATTCTAGGGACAGACCCCACGACGTCTCAAACGAAGCCTACTACATACATACCTGATCCCACTAAACACTGCTTTAACGAAAGCAAATTTCTGTTCCAAATTATGTCTGGTCAATGGTCCGATTAACAACCAATAGCTAACTGCGTTACAAAAGCAAACGCTTAAAACAGAGCTCCAAATTGGACCAACTCTTGCAGAAAAACCAATTGCGTCGAAAACAATGTAAACAATACTGTTGGAGACGAACATACTTTCGCCGTTTTTAATAACTTAAATCACTGTCCAAAGTTTTAGGGAAGACCCGGATTAAACAAAGGGCTAGCATGTTGCTGTACTTGGGATAGCTTTGATTGAACGGGAAGAATTGACACACTCCCTCAAAAGCTCAAGTATTAGAAGCCAATCCAGCAAGGCCAGAGAGGGATTTCTCGGGTCATTGCTTCAGGAATATGCACATACGACATTAATCATAATCCTCTCGAGGTTAACTGCGAAAATGTTTTCTCGAAACTTGTGAACACTAATTTCAGTGAAGACACGGGATATGATACCTGACGTAATTCAATACTTTATTTTTAGGGACAAGACAAGGCGCAAATCATTACCTAGTCGCATACAGAATAGGACTTTGTATAATTTGCTCGTATGTTATGCCCCAGAGCCCTCTCGGACGACACTACTTTCAACCTAAACACAATGGGTAACGCGAACCTCGAAGTTCGTTTCGGCAGAGGTGTTTGAAAAATAGACATTGTGCGAAATAGCCCTTTTAGGGGTGTTTTAAGCGGGATATACTCCCCAAACGTTTAGCTCCAGGCATCGACATTTACAATTCTCATACCCCCGAAAAGACGCTACAGGTTGCTATTTTATGCCGGTATGACAGTTTGAATTGACTCCTGATAATATGATAACAAGTTAAAACATGAGGTCCAGTTGTTTGATGTCATGGTCACGGCGGATTGCAAAAACCCTGTGGGATAAAGAATCCGCTGTTTAATATGGAAAAGCGAAGTTCTCGCAGTAAAAAATACATAGCTAGATTCGTGGAGTATTTACAAATAAAAATGTTCCTGTGGTTCTTTCCATATAATAAAAGTTAGTTAAAAAGTCCCTTGACACAGATCACAACTTCGGTATTCAAAATCGTTTATTTTCTGTAGTCCATTATAATTTTTCTTTGTGTGTGACTCTTCCCAAATAAAAGTTACCCGAAAGGTGAAAGAAGAGCCAGCAACAACAGAGAACAGAACAATTTTAACATTTATAAGAATTTAACATTTATAAGAATCTCATTCTTGATGTTAATACAAAAGCAAAACAATATTTTTCAATTCTATATAAAACTCTAGATAATTAGTCCCTGAAAAAACTAAGATCTTTATATTAAGATCAAACTCTGTCTGGTTTAACAACGAGATTCTAGAAGCAAAGAAGGCACATAATAAAGCTGAACCTGTGTGGCGTAAAACAAAACTTACAGTACATAAACAAATTTATAGAAATCAGAAAATTACAGTGAATAATCTCATTTATGAAGCTTAAAAGGCATTTTATTGCTTTATTCAAATAAAATTGATTATAGTCAAAATAAGCAAAAGGACCTGTTCCAGATTACAAAATCCCTATTAGATCCGGATCATAATGTTATTAAATTACCCAACGATGTGACTGCTGAGCAACTGCCTGAACGTTTTTCACTATATTTCACAAAGAAAATTGCCAAGATTAGAGGTGATCTCGTTGTAAACCACCAACACTCTGTAATTTTTCTTGTGTTTCCGAATCAGAATTATCGAAAATTATAATCCGAGCAGCTTCAAAATCGTGTATTCTGGATCCTATTCCAACATCATTCTTGAAAAAGTGACTTCCGGGCATCTTGCCTGTCAAATATCACCAATAGTGCCGTTACGGAAAATACTGTTCCAGATGCATTTAATTAGGCTATTGTATTTCCATTAATAATCGAATCTAGACCCCAACCTTGAGAAAAACTATCGCCCAGTATCTAACCTAAGCTTCCTTTTAAAAACATTTGAACGGGTAATCGCTAGTCAAATTATAAATATCTGTGATAATAATCTTATGGAGCAACTACATACAAAGTGCCTATCGTAGGTTCCACAGCACCGAACAGCTCCAGTTCGTGTTCATAATGACATTAACCTCAATCTGGACAATCGTGATTGTGTTTTATTAGTACTTATAAACCTGTAACGGTAAATCTCTTTGATCTTTGGTGTATATTCTATGCCCAGAATAACTTGCGGTCTGAAAGTCAGGGGAGGTTTTAGATATATACAGGGAAATTTGGGGATATTCTTCTGAAAGTTTTTCTTTAAACCTGTAACAGGTTATTCTTCCAGGGTAGGGTTTTTTTTCCATAAGAAAGCGTGATATAAGGTTTTTTTCTTGCGGAAA